TCCTCCCTCCCCCCAACTCCAGGAAATTATATAGAAAGCTCCCTGATATTAAGTAGAGCAGAAGAAAAAGAAAAGAAAAGAAAACATGGGTGGGAAATTCTAGCTACAGATTGGTCCTCATGTGTTTTGTATTTTGAAGATGCATAGGTTGAGTTTCAAGAAACCTCAAGTGTAAATTTGGTTTGTGGTGGTCCCCTACTGATAATGTTTCCAGGATCCTGGCTGAAACAAATGAAGATACATTTTGAAGATATAACATGAAACCAAGGCTTTTAGGACAACCTACAAATAAATTTTCAAGGGCAATCAACCATGAGTCACACAAAGAAATAAAGACAACAAGAATTAGAAGAATCAGAAAGAATATAGCAGCAATAGGTCCATATTGGAAGTATCAGACAGATTTAAAAACCAATTATACTTTACCATATCTAAGTAAATAAATGGCATACGTGAAAATATCTGCATGGAATGGATTGAAGGGTACACTGAGTTCCAGGAAAAAATGATACAAAAATTATCAAAATCAAGACATAACCTGATAAAGATAATGAATTTCAAGGATAGAAAGCAAGTCACCTACAGCTCAAGCAAACAGTCTTCAGACTTCTCTTCATCAACGTTTAATACCAAAACACAAAGGAAGTGTCTACAAGGTTCTGAGAGGAATAAATTATGGCTCAATAATTTTATACCTAGCCAAGATGTTGTTCAAGTACAAAGATAACAATGTAGCAAACAGGAAAGAATTCATGGAACATTGCATTAGCACTCATGAGTGCTTTTTGAAAAAAACTACTTGATGAAATTCAGCCAACTTATAGATGAACTGAGAAACTATGAAGAAGAAACTGAGGTAATGTTTGATGTCAACAAATCTCTGAAAAAAGAAAGTTGACTGAAGAATTTTATACCCAGCTAAATTATACTTCTCAAGCATGTGATAATTCAAGAAGTATAGCACTTATAAACTCTTATTTAAAGAACTACATCTGATAAAATCCAGCAAACCAAGAGATGAAACAATACAAAAGATTCATGTATGGAGAAGCTAGGATAAAATGACTGACAGTAAAGACTGCATTTCATTCCAGTTTGAGCAAACCAGTTTATCTCAATTCCCTCCTGAAACCTCATTTAAAGAATAGAGAGCACAGGTTTAAAATAAATGGACCTATAAAGAGAAAAAGAATGGGAGAAGAGTAAACAGCAGGGGAGAAAAGTCACTAAAATTTTTGGAAGATGCAAAGTGTACATTTCCAATTGTAACAATTGGTTATGGAAAGATTTCATTTTTTTTTCTGTTGTCAAATGAGAGTAGAAGGGTCAGGGGAGAAGTTGATAGGAAGAAAATCCGCCAGCCCTGTGGTGTAGTGGTTAAGTTCAGCACTCTCTGTGTTGGTGGCCAGGGTTTGTCAGTTCAGATCGTGGGTGTGGACCTACACCACTCATCAGCCATGCTGTGGTAGAAACCCACATATAAAGTGGGGGAAGATTGGCACAGATGTTAGCTCAGGAAGGAAGGAAGGAAGAAAAGGAAGAGAAGGAAGGAAGAGAAAGAAAAGTCAAATCCAGTCAAAGCAATGATTGATACTGAGGGTCCAGGGAGAGGCTGAAAATCTATATGAGGAACACTTATATCTGAGAATTCCTTGCCCAGTCAGTGGAGAAACGTGCCTTCCCTTTTCTCATAGCAGCAGAAAATGGGAAGCATATTATCTATAGAGGTTGCATGGACAGGGCTCGGGCCTGAGGGACACCAGAACCACTGAGGGCAGGACTGAGACCTTAGTGAGAACAGGATTAAAGAAATCCTACCTACTGATTAGGATCCCCCCTCCAACCAAGGAGCTCTCAGAATGCTGGGTGCCAGCTTTACAACACCTCCCACTGCCACCCCCATTCTTCTTGAATTCCTCTCTGGAAAACAACATAGGCCCAAGAGAAAAGTCTTATAGTTATTGACTTTTGGTTCCCAGACAAAATGTTGTTTCCTGTTTCATTATCCTAAGGTGAGATCCATCACCAAACATACAGTGTCTAATCAGCCTCATGAAAAATAAAAATAGACAGCCAAGCTGCATGATACATATAGGGAAAGTCTCTAACATGAAGGCAGAGACCAAAGGAAAACCCAGAACATAAAAGTAATTCAGAAGAAAAATGAAATGCTAAGATCAGAAGAAGAATGTTAAAAACCTAAAATTAATATCTTCAGATATTTAAGAAAAGATTCTGTGATATTGCCTCTGTGATATAATAAAAGGCTACTATATATGGATCAAAGACTTAACTGTAAGGGCTGAAACTATAAAACTCTTAGAAGAAAACATAAGTGTAAATCTTCATGACTTTAGATTAGTCAATGATTTCTTAGGTATGACACCTAAAGCACGAGCAACCAAAGAAAAAATAGATAAATTTGTTTTCATAAAAAAACCAAACAACCTTTGTGCTGCAAAGGATACCATCAATAAAGTGAAAAGACAACCCAAAGAATGGGATAAAATATTTGTAAGTCATGTATCTGATAAGGGTCTTGTATCCTGAATAAATAAAGAACTACTAGAACTCAACAATAAAAAGATAAAAATCCAATTTAAAAATGTGTAAAGAATTTGAGTAGATATTTCTCCAAAGAAGACATTCAGATGATCAATAAGCAAATGAAAAGATGCTCCATATCATTAGTCATTTGGGACATGCAAATCAAACCACAAAAAGATACTACTTCACACCTTCCAGGATGGCTATAATTAAAGAGAAAATAATAAGTGTTGGTGAAGATGTGGAGAAATTGAAACCCTTATACACTGTCGATGGGAATGTGAAATGGTACAGTTACTTTGGAAAACAGCTTGACAATTCCTCAAAAAGTTACACAGGGTCACTGTATGACTCAGCAATTGTAATTCTAGGTATATACCCAAGAGAATTGAAAACATATATCCACATAAAAAGCTGTATGTGAATGTTCATAGCAGCATTGTTCATAATAGCCAAAAAGTGGAAATAAACCCAATTGCCCAATTAATAAACAAATGTGGTATATCAATAGGAATGAAGTATATCAAAGGAATGAAGTACTGATATATGCCACACCATGGATGAACCTTGAAAACATAGTACATAAAAGAAGACAGACACAAAAGGCTACATATTGTGTGATTCCATTTATATGAGATATCTAGAACAGGCAAATCCATAGAAACAGAAAGTTAATTAGTGGTTGGCAAGGGCTGGAGGGAGGAAGGAATGGAAAGTGACTGCTAATGGGTACTAGGTTTCTCCTTAGGGTGATGAAAATGTGAAAATGTTCTGGAATTAGATAGTGGTAATAATTGTACAACCTTTTGGCTATACAAAAAAACCACTAAACTGTATGCTTTAAAAGGTTAATGTTAGGGTATGTGAATTACATCTCAATAAAAAATTAAAAACTAAGAGGCTAGAAACTTTCAGAGAACAAGAAAGAGCTTTTTGAAAGGAAAACTATGATCACAAAAGTTTAAAACTCAATCGGAAGGTTAAAAAAATTAAGTTGAGAAAATCTATAGAATCCAGGAAAATAAAGACAAGAGATGGTAAATAAGGAGAGGTTAAGAAAAAAAATCAGCCCAGGAGTCACTATACTACTAACAGGAGTTACAGAATAAGAAAACAAAGAACCTTGAGTAAAGGAAATAATTTTCTAAATTACACACACACAAAAACCTCCAAATCCTGTCCTAATCTGAGAAATATATGCCACAGAGTTAACAAATCTCATTGAGTACCTAGCACAATGAATGACAAAATTCTTACACCATGACACATTATCAAGACATTCTAGCACACTGGAGATAATATATAACAACCTAATTTAATCTAGAGGAAGGTTTTTCAGCCTCAACACTATTGGCATTTGGGGCCACCTGATTGTTTGTGGGAGGCTATCTTGTGCATTGTAGAATGTTTAGCAGCATCCCTGACTTCTGCCCATGAGATGCCAGTAGCACCATGTCCTCCAGTTCTGATGATCAAAAATGTTTCCAGACATTGCTAAATGTTGCTGGGTGGCAAAATTGCCTCTGGTTGAGACCCAGGGATCTAGAGGAAAAAAGTGGTCTCAGAAAAGAATGGGTAATTAGAATGTTGAACATCTCAACATTGAAGATTAGAAGACAATGAAGGAATGCCTTCAAAATATGAGCAACATGTCATTCCTAAACTATAATTCTACACCCAGCACAATCATCAAATCAACATTTAACTTTATGACATCTGAAAATTTCAGATGTTCAAATTCTCAATAAATTTATCAACAAATATTCTTCAGGAAATCAAGTGAGTAAACCAAAAAAGAGGAAGACATAAAGCCCAGAAAATGAAATCAAATACAGAAGAGAGAGAAAAGAAATTCCCAGGATGATGGATAAAGCAAGTCCCAAACAGCCAGCTGTGAAGTACGTCTAGAAAGCAGCCAGTATACAATTGAGCAGGAGTCTGGATAGCTCCAGAATGGCTCCAAGAAAAATAATGGAGCTGAGAGATTTCTTGATGGGTTTAATAATACAATGAGGACCTTTAGACTTTAGAAAGCATAAGGATAACTTAGAAATATGTGCGTAGAAAAGTAAGTAAAGTGAAAAATTATTAACAAGTGTAAAGAAAAGAAAATTTCAGTGCACCATGAGGTTCAGGTGTAAGTGATATTTATAATTATATAAACACTATTTAAACAGAATTATGATACTGGTATGAGAGGGGATGGGGCAGGGGAAATTTGTGTGTGCCCCTTAAAAAAAAGAAGTAAACAGGGGCTGGCCCGGTGGCCCAGTGGTTAAGTTCTCGCGCTCTGCTGCAGGCGGCCCAGTGTTTCGTTGGTTTGAATCCTGGGTGCGGACATGGCACTGCTCATCAAGCCATGCTGAGGCAGTGTTCCACATGCCACAACTAGAAGGACCCACAATGAAGAATATACAACTATGTACTGGGGGGCTTTGGGGAGAAGAAGGAAAAAAATTTTAAATCTAAAAAAAAAAAAAAAAGCAAATAGTATCTAAACCTGAAATTTGATAAAAAGTATTTTAGAAGCATATTGTTTAGAAATATGAAAATATCATGAAACAAACAAGAGCTTCAGAAGTTAACTCCAGACAGTCAATCTTGAATAAAACTGAAAAAAAGTGTAGCATTATATGACAAATTTTTAAAACGTAAAATGTCTGAACAATTGTGGGGATTATCCTTTTGAAATACATTGTAAATGTTATAAACATTAATAAAGTAACTATAACAAAAAGTATAAAATAAGATGAGGAGAGGAGGGAGGAAAATGTTTATTTGCTCATTTTCAAGCAGACAGTTGTGATGCTAATATCTTAATATGCATCATACCCTTGTTTTTTAACGTTGTAGGGATTATTTATGTAAGCTTAAGCAAGTTCTGTAGCTTCATATTATTTTGTTTTATCATATTCAAGTAAAATCTGATAGTTTTAATCATAAAGTTAGCAATTTATTATAGATGCATTTTATAAAATTATTTCCATCTATTAACTTATTCTTAAATGCATTTGTAGAAATATTTTAGACTGATAGAGACTTAATGTTAATGATAATTATTTCTGAATGGTGGAATAATGATGTTAATTTGCTTTCTTTTTTCTTATTAAATATGTTTAAGCATGTGACTATATATTATTTTAAAAGAGTGAGAATCATTATTTACGTACCCAAATCCATTTATTATGAAAAAGTAATCTTAAGACTACCAATATTTTTTCTATTTAAAAGGACTAGAATCGTTTAAAATTATAGCAGATGATCGAATTAAATGATATCAATTTTGAAAGAAAGTACGCAAGTTAGAAAACAGATAAAATATTAGTTCATTTGAGGAAAGACAATAGTATTTTCAAAACAACACTACAGAAATCCAACAATTTGAGTTCACAAAAGTTTTTGCATTAATGAAAATTATTTTTAAAACTGAAAGCTGTCATTTACAATAGTTAGACTCATGCTGATAATAATCATAAAACACAATTCTCTTAATCATAACAAGATATTAATGAACAAGCTCAAAGATCAGAAACCTGAAAACATTTCTGACTTCCACAAACCTAACACCCAAAAACCTGAGGAACACGATTTCTCAGCTATTGTATGGACATGCAAAATGTGAGATGGCTAAAAAGAACAAAAATAACAACAAAACACCCAGAGATTCAGAATGTAAAATGCTTCAACAGGTAGAAATAACTATAAATATGACAATAACTGTGAATATGTAAGCTCTTTATGTGAATGAAAGGATTGGGAACTAGTACTAAAATGACTATTATCATTTATAACTCTTGTCAAGGTGAGATTCCTAATTGAACTCAAAATGATTTCTGAAGTTAGAGTTTTCCTCAGTGTCTCCATCAGCTCCTTCACCCGCGAAGATGGGGACTATCGGTTTGAGAAATTTGAACTCCCTGGTCCCTGAACCTCCCCTGAGACACACCTCATACTGGTAGCTCTGGGACAGGGTCCCGGTGCCACTCACGTCCACCAGGTGGCCCGGAAAGGGGCCCTCGGGCACCGAGCAGCCACCCAGCGACGCGGCCCTGCTCCTCCTGCACAGCCGCACCGCGACGAACAGCAGCACCGACAGGAGGAAGAGCGACGACACCGACGCCAGCGCGACGACCAGGTAGACGGTGAGCGGGTCGGCCCGCGCCTGCTCGGCCGCCGCCTCGGGCAGCGGCAGGTAGGGCTGGGAGAAGCCGTCCACCAGCAGCACGTGCAGCGTGACGCTGGCCGAGCGCGGCGGCTCGCCATTGTCCCTGACCTGCACCAGCAGCCTGTGCTTGGGCGCGTCGCGCTCGCTCAGCAGCCTGGCCGTGCGCACCTCGCCGTTGTGCGGCCACACGCCGAACAGCCCGGGCTCCGTGGCCTTGAGCAGCTGGTACGACAGCCAGGCGTTCTGGCCCGAGTCGCCGTCTACCGCCACCACCTTGGTGACCAGGTAGCCCGCCTCGGCCGCCCGGGGCACCAGCTCGGTGCAGGGCGCAGAGCCGTTCTGCAGCGGGTACAGCACGAAGGGCGAGTTGTCGTTGGCGTCCAGCACCAGCACGCGCACCCGCGCCTGGCTGCTCAGCGCCGGCGAGCCGCGGTCCGTGGCGCCCACGCCGAACTCGAAGGCCTGCAGGGCCTCGTAGTCCAGGGACCTGAGGGCGAACAGGTGGCCGTTGTCGGCGTTGATGGACACGAGGGAGGCCAGGGGCAGGTGCGGGTCCTGGGGCGGCAGCAGCGAGTAGGTGAGCTGGGCGTTGGCGCCTGCGTCTGTGTCCGTGGCGCTGACGCTGCCGATGTGCAGGGCGGGGCTGTTGTTCTCGCGGACCCAGAGGGTGTAGGAGGTTTGGGTGAAGGCCGGGGCGTTGTCGTTGACGTCGGAGACCAGCACGGTTATGTTGTGCTGGGTTTTCAGCCTGGGTGTTCCCATGTCTGTGACGGTGATGGTGATGTTGTACTCGGCTCTGCTCTCTCTGTCAAGCGCTCCTTCTGTTACCAGAGTGTAGAAATTTTCTACAGTAAGTTTCAGAAGGAAGGGGAGATCAGCTTGGATGGAGCACATCATTTTGCCGTTGTCTCCGGAGTCTGCATCTGAAATTCCGAAAATAGCGACCACAGTGTCAGGGGTGTTTTCTGGGACGTCACTGATGAGTAACGACATGGTCAGTTCGGGGGCGTTGTCGTTTACATCCATCACTTCTATTGCTACTGTGCATTTTCCTGTGAGACCTCCGCCGTCTGAGGCCTCAATTTCCATACGGTAAGATTGAATTTCCTCAAAATCCAACATTTTTCTTAATCGAATTTCTCCCGTGACTGTGTTTATTTCAAAGGCCTGAACGACTTGATTTGAGGATTGGAAAAATGAGTAGGAAAGTTCTCCGTGGGTCCCAGCATCTAAATCTCTAGCGGAGACAGTGATGACAAGGGAGCCTATGGGGCTGTTCTCTGAGACCTGCACCTCGTAGAGTGGCTGAGCAAATTCCGGGGCGTTGTCGTTTATGTCCAGGACCAAGATGAGAACCTGGGAAGTCCCAGTCCTGGGCGGTGACCCGCCATCCCGCGCCGTGAGGGTTAACCTGAGCTCCGGCTGATCCTCACGGTCCAGCGCTTTGTCCAATACCAGCTCCGGGTATTTCCTGCCGTCGCTGTGATTGCGAGTGAAAAGGTGGAAATGGGAGTTTGTGCTAATTGTGTAGTTCTGAACTGTGTTGCTGCCCACGTCTAAATCTTCCGCTATTTTCAAAGGAAATGCAGTCCCCGGATGACTGCTTTCCGGGATTTTCAGGAGGATTTCATTTTCCAAGAATTTTGGGGCATGGTCATTTACGTCTAGGAGCTGCAGTTCACCTTGAATAAACTGCACCGGGTTTTTCAGTAACACCTGGAAATGCAGTATACATGGATCTGTGTCACCGCACAACTCTTCCCTGTCCAATTTTTCTTTTAGGAGCAAACTTCCACTCTTCTGCTCGAGCCGCAAATGCTGTTTATTCCCTTTGGAAAGAATCCGGGCGCCCCGCGAGGCCAGCTCCCCTATGCCCAACCCCAGATCTTTTGCTAGGTCAGCCACAAAAGAACCGCTGTCCCTCTCTTCTAGAACAGAATACTTAATGGTCGCGCCGCCCGCCTCCCACAATAGCAATAGGATAATAATGGCGGTCACTTGCCTTTTCTGCGGCGCTTTGGGCAGCGGCGTCTCCATCATTCCTCAGGGTCCAAAAGATGCAGTATTTAATCCCAAAATAATTGCTTTGCAGCCAACTCTGCTATCTTGCTTCAATAATCTTGTTAATTCTTCTTAACATTGACTGACATGGGGATAGCTGCCTATCTGAAACCCTTTATCCCCAGTAGTGTAAAACGTTTCCTTTTCGAGTTGCCAGAAACCGCTCAGCTTTTATGGAGGCTGCAGAGACAGATTTTCACTCTCTTAGCCTGCAGCGCCACCAAGCGTCCTGCTTTATAACATCAGATATTTTTCATTTCAAAGCGTAATGTAATAGCTAAAATGCATTGGAAGCCTTCTGGGTCCTAAGAGTGTTATAAACTTTTCCTCTCTTGTTATGCAGTCTTGTTCAGGTAGCTAACAACAGTTGCGGGAGCAGAAGTATTATCTGTATATCTATATCTGTAGTCATCTTCCTTATAAAGGTACAAGTTTAGCACACAAAACTCTGCTCAAGACAAATTCATTTATTCGCTTAGCCAGTATTTCTCTGTGCAGGGCATTTTTCTATCTTCTGGAGATAAAACAGTAAATTAAACACAAAAGTTCTTGCTCTTGGGAGCTTATATTCAATTACAAAAATACTAATTTGCCTATTGTGTTGGAAGAAGTTATGAATTTTTAAATCCAGTTTCTACTCCCAAATTGCAATGTGCCTGTAACTTCTGAAAAAAATTAAAATGTGGTTTCTTGTCAGTCTCTGGGCTACATAGCCTTTGGTAATTTTTTTTCCTTCGTAAATTCACTATGTGCAATGCCCAGTAGAGACAAAACAGCTGTTTGTTTTATTAGGAATCAATATAAGTCAGAAATCAGAAAATGTTTTTCACAGGCATGAAGAATGCAATGAAGCCAGTGAAGTCAAAGATGTACTTCCAAGGGAATGGTTTTCATCTGTCAGCCTTGGACAGAGGCCCATCCCAGTGTACATCCTCTGGAACTATGCTTATTGCAAAACACCAGTGCACCAACCAAAGCCATGTGGCTGGAGCAGAAGCAGCAGTTTCCCCAAAGAAGAATGCTATTCTAGGGAGGAGAGGGTAAATATCTGAGAATGCAAAACAGTAAGTATTCCCCGTACTCATTGAACCAATTGGTAATCATCCATGACAGAAGAGTCATGACACTTCACTTATTTGGACACAAAACACAGCCAAATATAGTTTAGTTAAGCCCAGTTCCATTTTAATTAAGGATAAAAATAAAATATTCACTTAATTGTCACTTTACTATAAATTGCCTGACTTTGATGGTCAGTTGAAGAGAGAGATTTTTCAGAAACTACTATAAATGTAACCAACAGAAATAAGACCAAATATGGGTTAAATTGTGAAAGTAAATGATTTTATGGTTAATAGAGACAAATGATGCATACACAGCACTAGAAGGGAAAATCTGACATTACCTTATAATCTGCCTCTAATAACTTCCTTGGGTCTTGGCAGGTATCACCCATATAGAAGCTTGAGAAACCAGGAGGAAGAGTTTGAAAATATAATTTGGAGATTACTAAACAATACCACTGAACTTTCATATTGTTAAGACAAAGACAAGGAGATAAAATATACTCTCAAGCATTTTATATTTGAAATAGAGGTTAGGGTGAGTAAAGGGTGTTTTCTGTTTAGAAGGAAAGTAAAAGTGATATTAGTAATTCCACATATGGGCCAGAGTACTGTATTGTAGAGAGACTATCAGTATTTCTGTATTCCTTGAAAAGTTTAAAAAAATTCACTACTAGAATGTTAATAACATTCAGCAAATATTTATTAAGCATTTATAATTGTCTTGGTATTATTAAAAAGACCATCATATTCTTACATGAAGCTCACAAACTGTAATTTAATGTGTTGACACTTTCATTAAGTCTATATTCATAGAAAATATGTATTGACTATTATGGTATACTGAAATGCATGTAAATATGAATGGGTATCTTAGCATTTAGCCATCTTTAGTGTTTATCTTTAGTTTTTCACACTCTAGGAGTTACCCTCAAATGAGAGTTATGTTGGCATATTAAATAATATCAAACACTCGCATTTAAAAATTTTCCTACGTAGCAATAGTGATGACAATTGTCACCACTAGTTAGAAATACAATTTTACTTAAGGAGTTTGGAATGTCATTTTTGTGAAAAGGATAGATGACTGAAAAATTTAAAACTATGAAAATAAAAAGTTACTTTTTATTCAGATTGTCGAATGTAGTTGAGTGAGAGTAATAAAAAAAACTATTAAGTGTAATATAGGGAAAATACTGTGTATAGCCAGTATCTGATTTTTTAAAAAAAATTTCACCCTAAGGAACAGTAATAAAATAAGAAACAGACCATAGATAATATGCATCAATAACATGTAACTTTAAGTTAAAAGAGACTTCCAAACTTATTAAGTAGGGTTTAATAGAATAATTCAATACTTAACTGAATGGGAAACTATTCCGAACTGTCGAGTTTTCCTCCATTTCCCTCCCAGTGTCCTGGGGAGGGAAGTTGGGGAGAATCGGCTTGAGGAACTTGAACTCACTGGTCCCTGAACCTGCCCTCAGACACACCTCATACTGGTAGCTCTGGGACAGGGTCCCGGTGCCACTCACGTCCACCAGGTGGCCCGGAAAGGGGCCCTCGGGCACCGAACAGCGACCCAGCGACGCGGCCCTGCTCCTCCTGCACAGCCGCACCGCGACGAACAGCAGCACCGACAGGAGGAAGAGCGACGACACCGACGCCAGCGCGACGACCAGGTAGACGGTGAGCGGGTCGGCCCGCGCCTGCTCGGCCGCCGCCTCGGGCAGCGGCAGGTAGGGCTGGGAGAAGCCGTCCACCAGCAGCACGTGCAGCGTGACGCTGGCCGAGCGCGGCGGCTCGCCATTGTCCCTGACCTGCACCAGCAGCCTGTGCTTGGGCGCGTCGCGCTCGCTCAGCAGCCTGGCCGTGCGCACCTCGCCGTTGTGCGGCCACACGCCGAACAGCCCGGGCTCCGTGGCCTTGAGCAGCTGGTACGACAGCCAGGCGTTCTGGCCCGAGTCGCCGTCCACCGCCACCACCTTGGTGACCAGGTAGCCCGCCTCGGCCGCCCGGGGCACCAGCTCGGTGCAGGGCGCAGAGCCGTTCTGCAGCGGGTACAGCACGAAGGGCGAGTTGTCGTTGGCGTCCAGCACCAGCACGCGCACCCGCGCCTGGCTGCTCAGCGCGGGCGAGCCGCGGTCCGTGGCGCCCACGCCGAACTCGAAGGCCTGCAGGGCCTCGTAGTCCAGCGACCTGAGGGCGAACAGGTGGCCGTTGTCGGCGTTGATGGACACGAGGGAGGCCAGGGGCAGGTGCGGGTCTTGGGGCGGCAGCAGCGAGTAGGTGAGCTGGGCGTTGGCGCCTGCGTCTGTGTCTGTGGCGCTGACGCTGCCGATGTGCAGGGCGGGGCTGTTGTTCTCGCGGACCCAGAGGGTGTAGGAGGTTTGGGTGAAGGCCGGGGCGTTGTCGTTGACGTCGGAGACCAGCACGGTTATGTTGTGCTGGGTTTTCAGCCTGGGTGTTCCCATGTCTGTGACGGTGATGGTGATGTTGTACTCGGCTCTGCTCTCTCTGTCAAGCGCTCCTTCTGTTATCAGGGTGTAAAAATTCTCGACCGATGGTCTTAGGAGAAAGGGGAGATTGTCATCTATAGAACAAATAACCTCCTGGTTCTGTCCAGAATCTGCATCTGAAACACTGAAAACTGCCACTATGATGTCTGGCAGGTTTTCAGGGATGGGGCTGATGAGTGACGACATGGTCAATTCAGGGGCATTGTCATTCACATCCAGGACCTTGATGACTAAAGAGCATTTTCCTGACAGTCCCCCCCCATCTGTCGCCTCAACATCCACGTGATAAGATTGAAATTCCTCAAAATCCAATGTTTCTCGCAGTCTAATTTCTCCTGTAATTGCGTTTATTTCAAAGGGTTGGTTAATGTCATCGACTTGAAATAGGGCATAAGATACCTCCCCAAAGGCTCCTGCATCTAAATCTCTCGCAGAGACGGTGATAACCAGTGAGCCCAGCGGGTTGTTTTCAGGGATTTGCGCCTCATAGAGCTCCTGAGCAAACTCAGGAGTGTTGTCATTGATATCCAAGACCAGGATCTGAATCTTTGTGGTCCCTGACCGGGGTGGAGACCCGCCATCCAGCGCTGTGAGCGTTAGCCTGAGCTCAGGCTGCTCCTCGCGGTCCAAGGCTTTGTCCAACACCAGCTCGGGGAACTTCCTGCCATCGCTGCGATTGCGGGTGAGAACGTGGAAGTGAGGATTAGAGCTGATTATGTAGCTCTGAAGGCTGTTGCTACCAGCGTCTAAATCTTGTGCCATTTTCAAAGGAAATATCTTTCCTGGCATAGTAATTTCTGATATTTTTAATAGCATTTCTCTGGCCGGGAACTCTGGGGCGTGGTCGTTTATATCTCTGACCTGCAAGGCAGCCTGAAAAAACTGCAAGGGATTTTCCAGTAACACTTGGAAAGGTAACACACATGGCTCAGTGAAGCCGCACAGCTCCTCCCGGTCCAGTTTCTCATTTAGCAGCAAATCATAGGTCTGTGGATCAAGCTGCAAATGCTGTCTGTTCCCCTTGAAAACAACTCGGGCGCCCCGTGCAGCCAGCTCTCCCATCCTGAGTCCTAGGTCCTTTGTCAAGTTTGCCACAAACGTGCCAGTTTCTGACTCCTCCAGTACAGAATACTGAATCGATTCTGAACCCGCCTCCCACAAAAGCATCAACATAATGAAGATGGCCACTTGCCTTTTTTTGCGATGTACTTTTGTTTGCGCCATCTCTGTTATGTCTGATTCCAGAAGAAGAATCCTTTTCCACACCCAATCACCAGGTCCACCGTCGACCCTCCGAAATGTCTTTGCTATAGAATTTCGAATTCGTTCTTATACCTTGTCTGGAGACGACTGCCTTCCTGAACACTTCTACCTTCGCTTTAGCTGTAAATGTGTTCTGTATTTTTTCTCCGTCAGATGGAGTCCACCGAATCTGCAGCGCTTTTCTTCACTCTCTTAGCCTGCACTGCCACCACGCGTTCAAATCAGTAACTTCATGAGGTGCATGCAGGTCAATACCGTTTCCAAAAATCTGAGTGTTTTAGGTCGAGTCAGTGTTTCTCAAACTGTAATGTGTGAACCGCATGCATAAATAATTACCTGGGAGTCTTGCGGTTTTTTCAAAGCCAGTTCCTGGGCTCCTCTCCACATCTTGAATCAAATTTTCCGGTGCTGCTAAGGAAATCTGCACTTCAATCTTTCTCCTTAAATGATTCTCATGCATACTAATGTTGAAGAATCTCTACCTCGGGTAGACTTCCTATAATCAACTTTTGTCCTCTAGCAGCGCAATTTATCTCTGATGAGCAGTGTAATTTGTGAATCCAAGAAGTACACGAATTAATTATCCCAAAAAATACATCAACAAACTATATATAATATAAAATTTGGTTAGCAACACTGATGGTAAAGTAAACAATCATTTCTCTAAATTATGTCACTCATAGATGGCATAAACAATAAACTAACTTTGTTTTGTGGTTACACCTCTACAGTAAAGGCAACAATTAGGCTATTAAAGGAAAATTGAGGCCAAGAAATACTTATTAGCAAAGTATCTAATCAAATTAAATTACTTAAAAGAGGAACTAGGAATAATCAAGTATGTGTCATAAGTAGGCACTTTAGGATTCCACTTCATTTTTGTATGGATAGAATTGGTCATGATTTTATTAGGCTTGTTCATTTTATTGTAATTTTTTAATCAAATTCCCCTCCTATATTAATTAATCAAGGTCCAAATATATTACCCTGTTGTAAGAACATAATGCAATGCAGAAAACAACCATTCAAGAAGCACCTCTACCATCTTCTCACAACAAGGATGACACTAGGTCCTGTAAATATAGACCAAATGAGGTAGTGTGAAAGGGGAATTGCATGTGAGTGGATACCATAAAATTCAGTGATGGTTCAAAATGGCTATATCCATTCTTGTCTCACCAGTTTCTGCTCAAATAGGAAAATATATCTCTAAATATCCTGAAAATACTTGAAATGGGTCGGTGCACATATAAGAACACACACAAAAAAACCACCAAACGAGTCATTTCAGATTGATTTTTATTGAGAGGTGAAATCAAGTTCAAGCAAAATTCACTTCAGGTAAGAGCCAAAATGATGGAAGATTAAAAATGAGGATTTTAAAAAAATACTTCAATTCTAGGTAAGATAAATAAGCTAAGTAAAATCTAAACTCTGAACAGATTAAATTATTTTGTAATTGCAAAGCACCCCTATCTACTCAGAAGAATAAAAATCAGATCCCTGTGACCAGTCTCCATGGTTCACTTGATAAATGTTACTAAGAATAGACTTCCTTGAGGATACGAATAACAAAATAAACTGAAGAAGCAAAACCAACAATCACAACCACCTTAGATGGGTTTAATTTCTTCTCCAATAGAAGATTATTTTCATCTCAGTCTTAAATCCTTCCTTCTTTCAGAGGGCATCCTGATTCCAGCTAAATGGCATCCTGGCATCTGCAGAGTCCTTTATTCACCCTCTTTGCCTGCAGCACCACCAGCCATCCTCAAATACAGCTTACTGAATTAGTCTTCATTTTAAAGCAAGTTTTATTACCACTATAGTATGTGTACAACTCAATTTAGATCGTTGTGCAGTACGGTATGTGTACAGCTCAATTTAGATCATTGAAATGACTTTCAGAAGGCTGATGGTTGCAACAGAGAGAAAGAAGATAATATCTCAATGTATCCCAAAAAGATAGCAGTTGGGTATGTGAAGAAACTGCCTTTTTATGGAAAGTGATTTACATTAGATTCCTTCAGAAGAATGCTTCTCTGTTTTATTCTCTTTTGCTTTGATTTGATTTGCTAAAGTATATTTGAATTGATTTTGCTTTTATAAACATCTCACAATGAATAATTCATTAAAAATTTTATTATGGGTAGAGTTTAACATATACAAAGTAAACAGCATGAACTTCCATGTTCACATCATTATTCTGTCTCCTTTCATCTATACCTTTCCCTCCACTCTTGGCTTCCCACTCAAGGTTTGCTTTTGTATAATTCTTAAGATAATGTTTACATAAATTGAAATGCATCAATCTTAACTGTACCATTTTAACAAATGGATCCATCCATGTAACCCACCCCTCTTTCAAGATATAGGACATTTCCATCTTTCACTGGGAATCTTCTTAATTGTATTTTCCAGCTTAATTTTAATAATTAGGTGGTAAAATCTTGGTCTCCTCTTGATACAATATGCAGGGTAAACAATATAAAAAAGCACTATACCCAACGCTCTTTATGCTCATGTATGCTAATGTGAATGACAGATAGTTTTAAGATTAATTTAGCTAGATTATTGCCGGTGAGCTGAAATAGTACTTTAAATGATGAAACATTGTAAAGCATATTAAACTTAATTTTATTTATTTAGTTTATAATTACTGCGTAGCTGATCAAACTGATTTCCATTTTTATGCTACGCATGTTTATTTTCCTTTCACTCCATTATATTTAAAAATTCTTCAAGTTTATTAAAAATGAAAGATAAAGACTAACCTTCAAGGATGAATTGAACCTCTTACAAATCTTTTTTTTAATTTAGTTAAATGCAAGGAAAAACACAATTCAGGGAAAAGATAGCATGATATGTGAGCAATCCTTAAAGCAAACTCTCAATTGATGAGAGAGATGCTGCAGCGAAGTTTGAAAAATAAAGGATTAGATGCTAAATACATTTGAAACCTCAAATGGTTGAGGAAGAAGACTGCCAGTCTTGCTAGATGCTTGTCAATGTTACCGATATTTTCCAAAGAACTAGTTTTTTATTTCATTGCTTTTTCTCTATTATTTTTATTTTGAATTTCATTGATTTCTTCTATTATTTTTATTATTTACTTCCTCCTGCTTCTCCTTCTTGCTGTGGGTTATTTTCCTCTTCTTTTGCTAGATTCTTGAGGTGGGAGCTCAAATGATTGATTTGAGACTTTCCCTCTTTTCTTTTTTTTAAATATCCAAACTCACTTTTTTTTCTCCTGCTTTATCTCCCCAAAGCCCCCTGTACACAGTTGTATATCTTAGTTGCAGGTCCTTCCAGTTGTGGGATCCCTCTTTTCTAATGTATGCATTTAGTAACATAAATTTCCCTCTCTGCACTGCTTTAGCTGTGTCTTATAAATATTGATATGTTGTCTTTTAATTTCCAGTTCAGCTTGATGTATTTTTTTCTGTTTTTTTTTTCTGAGTAAGATTAGCCCTGAGCTAACATCTGTGCCAGTCTCCCTCCACTTTAGCTGTGGGTCACCACCACAGCATGGCTGAGGAGAGGTGTAGGTCCATGCCAGGGATCTGGGCCTGTGAACCCAGGCTGCTGAAGTGGAGTGTATTGAACTTAACCACTACACCACAGGGCTGGCCCCTGGATGTATTTTTTTAATTTCCCTTGGGACTTTGTCTTCACTCATGGATAGAAGTATGTTGTTTTGTTTCCAAGTGTTTGAAGATTTTCCTGTTATTGACTTTTAATTTGATTCCATTGTGGTTGGAGAACACATGTTGCGTGATTTCAATTCCTTTACATTGGTTTAAGTTTATGTTATGGCCTTGTTTGTGTGGTATATGTTCTGTGAGCATTTGAAAAGAATACGTATTCTGGTATTCTTGAGTGGGTGTTCTAGAAATATTGATTAGATCCTGTTGGTTGATGGTGGTGAATTCTTCTGTATCCTTGCTGATTTTCTGTCTAGTTGTTCTATCAGTTGTTGAAAGAGAGTGTTGAAGTCTCCAACTTTAATTGTGAATCTATTTCTCCCTTCAGTTCTATCAGTTTCTGCTTCACATATTTTTTAACTCTGTTGTTTGGTGTATACATATTTAGGATTGCTATGTCTTCTTCCATCATCATTATATAATGTCTCACTCTGTTGTTTCTTTGTCCATCAAACATAATTTAAAAAACACAAAGGAGAATGAAATTTTATTCACCATATTTTTATTTACTTTCTTCTTTCTTGATGTTCCAAGATTCTTTTTTTTTAAATTGATTCTTTTATGTTTGGAGAACTTCCTTTAGCCTTTCTTTTAGGGCAGATCTACTAGCAACAAATTCTCTTCCTGAAGGATATTGTATCTGGATATAGGACCCTGGGTTGGCAGTTCTTTTGTTTTAGCATTTGGAAACTATTGTGCCACTTCCTTCTGACCTCTGTGGTTTCTGATGAGAAATCTACTCTCATTCATTGTTATTGACCTATGGATAATGTGTCATTTCTCTCACTGCTTTCAACATTTTTTCCTTTTATTTAGTTTTCAGAAATTGGACTATGATATCTTTTGGTTTGGATTTTTTTGATTTATCTTGTTTTGGATTTGTTTGGTGTCTTGAATCTCTGGGTATGTGTCTTTTGCCAAATTTGGGAAGTTTTCTCTTCTCTTTCTAGGATTCCAGTGAGACAAATGTTAAATCTTTTTGTATTGTCTCAGAGATCCCTGAGGCTCTATTACTTTTTTTTACAGTCTATTTTCTCCCTGTCATTCAGATTGGGTAATATCTATTGTTCTGTCTTCTAATTCAATGATTCTTTCTTTGTCCCCTCTGTTCTGTTAAGCTCCTCCATTGTGTTTTTCATTTCAATGATTGTATTTGTAATTTATAAAATTCCCATTGATATTTCTTTATATCTTTTTATTTTTGGCTCAACTTTACATTTCTTTGCTGAGACTCTACTTTTTCATTTGTTTCAAGCATTTTTGTAATTTCTCATGGGAACATTTTTTGAAGTCCTTTTAAAAATCTTTGTCAGATAATGCTAACATCTCTGCCATGTGGGTGTTGGCATCATTTAATTGTCTATTTCATTCACTTTGATATCTTTGTGGTTCTTGGTATGACCCAGATATTACCTTCCTAGATGTGCATGTGACCAAAAGGAACTCTTGCCCAAGAGCATGAGGAGATATATTCAAGAATGCTTATAGTAGCATTGTTCATAGTAACAAAACTCTTAGAGCAAAAACCAATGAACAGTAAAGTGAATTTAAAGGTAAAGGTGTATTTCTACAAAGGAATATTACAGAGCAGTATAAAGGAAGGAACTGCATTAACATGGGTGAATTCAATACCACAATGATTGAAAAAAGCAAGCCCATAGATGATCCATACTACATGAATCCATTTATATAAATTTCAAAAGCAGACAACACTGAACAATATATTATTTAGAGCTATATGCATATCTGTTGCAACTATAAAGAAGAAAAATAATAAAAAATTCAGGATAGTGGTTGATTTTCATGAGGATGGGAGATGTTATGGTGGAAGCACACAGGGATTCCAAAGTCTTGGCATTGTTCTAATTCTTAGGCTGGATAATAGGTACATGGGTGAACTCTTCATTATTTTTATTTTAAATTGCACATATATATTGTATACACTTTCTTTGATGTTTAATAGACTTCAAAATAGAAAAAAGTAAAACCAAAAAAGCAATGTCTCTGGGATCAGGCTCCCTGGATTCAAATCCTGATCCCACCACTTAGTAGCTAAGTGGCCTTGGCAAGTTACTTCAATTCTGTATGCCCCAATTTGTTGATCTCTAAAATGAGGACACCAATTGTACTATTTTTTGAGGATTAAATGAGATATGTGTAAAGAATTTAGAAAATGGCTAAGTGCATAGAAAGTGTGTAATAATAATAATACATTATATATAACATATAATAAGTTTAATAATTATTATTTCCCCCAAGATCTCCCTTCAAAAACATTAAGGCTCATTTCTAAAGAAATAAAAGGAATTTTTCTGGAGAACACTAGGACTTTTGGTGGAGATTTTGGAATCCCAGAATAAAAGCTTTTGTATCCTGGCATTTGAAGAGCCACATCCTAAAAAGAGTTCTCTGCCCATTCATCACAATACATCCTAAAGTAAGGTCTGGTGTTTTACAGACCTGGCCCTGCACTGTCTCACACAGAGGACTCTGTCAGAATTTCCACTCAGGACAGGAACTTGGGTGCAGACCACCCTATTGTACAAAAGCAGAGAAGACTTATAAAACAGCAACTCTTTCACAACAGCTACTCAGTTCTTCTTTCTTACAGATGAACAGATAATAATGGCTCACCAGAGACAGGGAAACCACCACAACAAAGAAAAACAAAAAGAGAAATGGAACCTGCAGGAAACAGATCATTCAGGAAATAAAGTGAACTTTGAGAATCTCAAGTGATCCTGTGGAAAAGACACAATCAGATAATAAAAAAAAACTCTTAGGGATTTAAATATGATAGTAAAATTAAAAATTCAATAGAAATACTCAAAATAAAGTGAGGGACTCACTTTAAGTGAGGCTGTAGAAGGAAAACCAAAGATATAAAATAAAAGAGAAATATAAGAAACAATTGACAATGCTCAATATCCAACAAGCACATGTCTCAGAAAAAAATAGCAAGATAAAGTTAGGAACACAATTATCAAGGAAATAATAGTAGAGATGAAATAATCCCAGATATAAAAAAGCATGAGTTGTTAGAATATATAAGACATCGAATGGCATATATAATACATAAAACATCAGTGAAGTGAAAGAGAAAACTAAATGCATTTTCTCATGTGCAGAGATTCAGAAAGTTTATTTTTTGGGCACCCTCTCTTAGGAAGCCATACTTACTCTCCTACACATACATACTCTCTTAGTAAACATTCTATAGCAGGGAGAGGGAATAAAATAAAAGAAAGGAGGAGATAAGGGATCTATCAAACAATGGACTCAACTAAGAGAAGAATGATGACAAGGTGACAGTTTTATGCACGATTAGAGATCATTTAGTCCAGACGGAAGCAGAAAAGTAAAGCACTTCAGGTAGGAAATATGTGAATTCTTGATTTAAAAATATTTGAAGATATGGTAAAGCGAATTGATGGAGTCTAAAATGGTGAATCTATTTGATCTTGATTCTAGGAACATTCTATTTTCAATGGCATGAGAGAAAAACTGTAAATCAAAAGAGCAGGAAATATAGTCCTTATCACTAAGTAATATGGCTCTGCAATGAACAATATATTTTATTGTGATAAAAAAGAAAAAATATGCCTCCTTAACCATTTTTAGGGGTACAGTTCAGTAGTATTAAGTATATTCACATAATTGTGAAACAGATCTCCAAAACATTTTCATCTTGCAAATTGGAAATTCTATACTCATTAAGCAAAAACTTCCATTTTCCTCCTCCTAGTAGTTCCTGGTAACCATCATTCTGCTTTCTGTTTCTCTGAATTTGACCACGTTAGATACTTTATGTAAGCGGAATCATGCAGTGTTTGCCTTTTCTCTACTGGCTTATTTCACTTAGCATGAGGTCCTCAAGGTTCATCCATGCTGTAGCATGTGATAAGCTTTCACTCCTTTTCAGGCGGAATAATATTCCAGTCTCTGTATATGCCTCCTTCTGTTTATTCATTCATCCATAGATGGACATTTGAGTTGCTTCTACCTCTTGCCTATTGTGAACAGAGCTGCTATGAACATGAGTGGAAAATATCTCTTTGAGACCCTGCCTTCAATTCCTTTGGATCTATGCCCAGAAGTGGGATTTTGCTGGATCATACAGAGGTTGTATTTAAAAAATTTTGAGGAACCTCCATACTGTTTTCCGTAGCAGTCACACCATTTTACAATCTCGCCAACAGTGCACAAAGGTGTCAATTTCTCCACATCCTGACCAACACTTGTTATTTTCTGTTTTTTGATAGTAATAATCCTAATGTTTGTCAAGTGATATCTCATTATGGTTTTGATTTGCATTTCTCTGATGATTAATGATACTGAGCATCTTCTCATATTTTTGTTATTTCATCTTTGGAGAAATGTCTATTCAAAAATATCTGTCCATTTTTTAATCAGATTACTTGATTTTTTTTTTTTTTGAGGAAGATTAGCCCTGAGCTAACATCTGCCGCCAATCCTCCTCTTTTCTTTTTGCTAAGGAAGACTGACTCTGAGCTAACATCTGTGCCCATCTTCCTCTACTTTATATGTGGGACGCCTCCCACAGCATGGCTTGACAAGTGGTGCATAGGTCCGCACCCAGATCCGAACCAGCAAACCCCGGGCGGCAAAAGTGGAATGTGCGAACTTAACCACTGCGCCACCAGGATGGCCCCTGGATTACTTCATTTTTTGTTATTAAGTTGTAGGAGTTCATATATATTCTGGATATTAGCCTCGTATCAGATATAGGATTCTGAAATATTTTCTCCCATTCCAGAAGTTGCCTTTTCACTCTGTTGATTGTGTTCTTTGATGCACAAAAGTTTTTAAGTTTGAGGTAGTCTCATTTGTCTATGTTTGGTTTTGTTGCCTATGCTTTTGGTGTCACATCCAAGAAATCATTGCAAAATTCAATGTCATGAAGGTTTCCCCTTATGTTTTCTTCTAGAAATTTATTGTTCAATGAACAATATTTTGAGAAAGAGAAATGCAGCCCCTTACAGCTCGGAACTGACCTGACCCTCACAAGTAGGCCATGATCTTCTCCTGTTGAACATAAACAACTTCACAGAACAACAACATCATTAAAGGCCATTGTGACCCTGAAGGAACAAAACCAAAATAAGATGATTTCATGATCATGCTTGAGCAGAGACAAAAACAAGGACATTGTACAAACAATAACCAAAACACCAGAGTCCCCTTTCCTGGCTATTATGAGTAAGTGCTGGTTTGTAAAAAGCCAATTACAGCTTTAACTTCACTTTGTTCTTCTCACCTCCTAAATAAAATTCATTAAGATATCCAACCATAGAATTACCCCCACTCTCTGAAAGCATTCAATCCAGAGCTACCCCCACTTCCTTGAACCCTACCCCAAATCACTTAACACAAGCCCAAATCCTACAACTCCTATGTAAGACTCTGTTACTAAGGTGACCTAAGGTTCCCCATGGTGTGCAGTTTCCCTCAGTACAAGTCTAAACCCAACTTTGTTCTGACATAGTGTGTTCCTGGTGATCTTTGGCTGCAAGGCCAAAGATAATACATGTGGTCATTAAAAGTGAATTTTTAATATTGATTTTCAAGTTCTAAAACAGATCTATAGACAAAACAAGGAATTCTTAGCTATAGTTGTAGAGCCAAAAATGTGATCAACCTTGACTATATAGAAGTAAAAGTTCATTTGAGAGAGGTTTGAAAGTGTAAGGAAGAAACAAGTAGTAGGAAAAATAAGAATTCTGTTCTTTTCTTTCATACAAAAAAGATCAAAAGAAACTGTTGTTAGTGGAACAATAAATGGAGGTTTCAGTTTGAGGAGAGAAGTACCAGAAAACAGTGAGCTTGCTATATGTGAAGGATGGATAAGAGAGGTTTTAAGTGTAGTAGTTACTAAACAATAATAGCAGGAGATTAATTGCTTAAAGTTTATGAAAAAAGTTACAAACATATTCTTTAGTTATAAGAAAGTAAATACAAAAAGAGCTAGAAAATAAAAGGTTTAAAAGTGCTTTCCAATGAGATACAATGAAAAACAGACGTACAGATGTTGGCAAGAATATGGAGGAACTGGTACCTCCAGACACTACTGATAGCAGTGTATGTGGATACAACCACTTTGGAAAATACTTGGAAATATCTACTAAAAGTGAACATGTACTTACTAAATGAGCAACAATTCCACCCCTAGGTATATACTCAACAGAAATGTTTGCCAAAGACGCGTACAAGAATGTTCATAGTAGTAGTATTCAAACAGCCAAACCTTGCACCAACCCAAATATCCATCTACAAGGGTAAGAAATTGTGAAATATTCATATAGTGGAACACCACACAGCAATGAGAATGAAAAACTAAAATTAAAAGCAGTGTCATGGATAAATGTCATAAACATAATGTTGAGTGAAAGAAGTCAGACACAAAACAATTCATACTCTACCATTACACCTATATAAATTCAAAACGGGCAAAACTGTAGTATTGGAAGTCAGGGCATTTGTTACACTTGGGCTGGTAGTGATTTTTAAGGGGTAATTTTTATGGCCCCTAGAATGATGGTAATGTTTCATTTCTTTATTAAGATGCTGGTATGTTCACTTTCTGAAAATACATTGACTGAACATTAAAGATTTGTTCACTTTTCTGTATATATGTTATAATTCAATAAAACTGGTTTTAAAAAAAAAAAAGTTTGGGGCCCGCCCCGTGGTGGAGCAGTTAAGTTCGCGAGCTCTGCTTCTGCAGCCAGGGGTTTCACCAGTTCGAATCCTGGGCACAGACATGGCACTGCTTGTCAGGCCATGCTGAGGCAGCATCCCACATGCCACAACTAGAAGGACCCACAACTAAGAATACACAATTACGTACCGGGGGGCTTTGGGGAGAAAAAGGAAAAAAATTAAAAACTCTTAAAGAGAAAAAAATGTTTGCTAGTGCAGATGAGAGCTAAGAAAGAAGAGTAGATAGAGTATTGCTTTTCATCATATTTTCTCACATATTACATTTATCATATGCATGTAATGCTTTGAAAACAAAATTAAAGAAAACTATGTAAAAACTTTTTATTTTTGCTATTTAGCATCAAATATACTTAGAGTGCGATAAAACAGAAGGGATAGAATACAGAGAAAAACAATTAACCTTTGATTTTACTAAGAGAGTTCCTGGCAACGAAAATGCACAAGAGGAGCAAAAATTTCAGGAAAATGAGCAGCATGCATGGATTTGGAATGGCACTCTGCAAATAAACACGATGTAGAATTGAGTTTTCTAAAATTCGACAGGATAAAGTTCAATGGACATGTTCATCATGAAAGGGAAATCAAGGCTATACCTTAAGGTGAGATTTTTCTCCATTATGCTCTCAAATTCTGTATCTGGGGAAATTAGAGATAAATGACATAACATGGTGCATCATAATCAAATCCTTAGGTGAATCCAAAGCTATTCCGAAACGTGGAGTTTTCCTCTATTTCTTGGCCAGCGCTCTGGGGTGGGAGGTTGGGGAGAATGGGCTTCAAGAATTTGAACTCATTTGACTCAGAGCCTCCTGTCAGACATATCTCATACTGGTAACTGTGGGACAAGGTCCCAGTACCGGTAACGTCCACCAGGTGGCCCGGAAAGGGGCCCTCGGGCACCGAGCAGCCACCCAGCGACGCGGTCCTGCTCCTCCTGCACAGCCGCACCGCGACGAACAGCAGCACCGACAGGAGGAAGAGCGACGACACCGACGCCAGCGCGACGACCAGGTAGACGGTGAGCGGGTCGGCCCGCGCCTGCTCGGCCGCCGCCTCGGGCAGCGGCAGGTAGGGCTGGGAGAAGCCGTCCACCAGCAGCACGTGCAGCGTGACGCTGGCCGAGCGCGGCGGCTCGCCATTGTCCCTGACCTGCACCAGCAGCCTGTGCTTGGGCGCGTCGCGCTCGCTCAGCAGCCTGGCCGTGCGCACCTCGCCGTTGTGCGGCCACACGCCGAACAGCCCGGGCTCCGTGGCCTTGAGCAGCTGGTACGACAGCCAGGCGTTCTGGCCCGAGTCGCCGTCCACCGCCACCACCTTGGTCACCAGGTAGCCCGCCTCGGCCGCCCGGGGCACCAGCTCGGTGCAGGGCGCAGAGCCGTTCTGCAGCGGGTACAGCACGAAGGGCGAGTTGTCGTTGGCGTCCAGCACCAGCACGCGCACCCGCGCCTGGCTGCTCAGCGCGGGCGAGCCGCGGTCCGTGGCGCCCACGCCGAACTCGAAGGCCTGCAGGGCCTCGTAGTCCAGCGACCTGAGGGCGAACAGGTGGCCGTTGTCGGCGTTGATGGACACGAGGGAGGCCAGGGGCAGGTGCGGGTCCTGGGGCGGCAGCAGCGAGTAGGTGAGCTGGGCGTTGGCGCCTGCGTCTGTGTCCGTGGCGCTGACGCTGCCGATGTGCAGGGCGGGGCTGTTGTTCTCGCGGACCCAGAGGGTGTAGGAGGTTTGGGTGAAGGCCGGGGCGTTGTCGTTGACGTCGGAGACCAGCACGGTTATGTTGTGCTCGGTTTTTAGCCTGGGTGTCCCCAAGTCGGTGACCGTGATAGTGATGTTGTACTCCGCCCGGCTCTCTCTGTCCAGTGGCCTCTCTGTCACTAGGGTGTAAAAGTTCTTGAATGTGGGTTTCAAGAGAAAGGGGAGGTCGTTCTGGATGGAGCAAAGCATCCTTCCGTTGTCCCCGGAGTCTGGATCAGAAACACTGAAAACAGCAACTACAGTCTCTGGGGAGTTTTCTGGGGTAGAGCTGGCCAGCGTCGACATGGTCAGTTCAGGGGCGTTGTCGTTCACATCCACCACCTCTATCGCTACGGTGCATTTCCCGGAGAGGCCCCCGCCGTCTGTGGCTGCAATCTCCACGTTGTAAGATTGAATTGCCTCAAAATCCAATGCCCTTTTCAGACGAATTTCTCCTGTTATTTCGTCTATTACAAATGGTTGAGTAATTTCATTGCCTTGGAATAGAGAGTAGGCTACCTTCCCATTCGTTCCTGCATCTAAATCTCTGGCGGAGACAGCGACAACTAAGGAGTTTAGGGGGCTGTTCTCCGGGACCTGTACCTCATACAGCGACTGTAAAAACTCAGGGGCGTTATCATTGATGTCCACGACTTCAATGCGGACTGCAGTGGTGCCGGACCTGGGCGGAGCCCCACCATCCAGAGCTGTGAGGATTAAACTGAGCTGGGGCAGCTCCTCACGATCCAGCGCTTTGTTCAGCACCAGCTCTGGGTATTTTCTGCCATCTCCGCGATTATGAGTGACGACGTGAAAATGGGAGTTGGGGCTGATTGTGTAGTTCTGAACAGTGTTGCTACCTATGTCAAAGTCCTGAGCTATTTTCAAAGGAAACACAGTCCCTGGCCGGACGATTTCTGGAATTTTTAGGAGCATTTCCCTTTCTAGGAACTCTGGAGAATGGTCATTTATATCTGTGAGCTGCAGATCAGCTTCAAAAAACTGCACTGGCTTTTCCAGTAATAGTTGGAAATGCAGTATACAAGGATCTGTCGCCCCGCACAGCACCTCCCGGTCTAGTTTTTTATAGAGAAGCAAATTCCCGGTCTTTATATCCAGCTGCAAGAGCTGTTTGTTTCCTTTGTAATGGATTCGCGCGCCCCGAGTGGCCAGTTCCCCCACCCTGAGCCCCAGGTCTTTTGCCAGGTTGGCCACAAAGGAGCCACTTTCTGTTTCTTCTGGCATGGAATACCTAATTACTTCAGAGCCAGCCTCCCACAAAAGCAACAATATAGCAAGAAAGAGAACTTGCCTTTTCCATGGCGTTTTTGTTAGCGCAGTCCCCATTGTTCAGATCCGACCCAAGGAGGTGCAGTTTCTTCAACTCCGGTATACAATCAACCCAGATGATTTGTTAAATAACCTCAAATTAGATCTTTCTGAAACACTTGCACTAGAATGATGCCCTCTCTGAAGATCTCTGCCCCTAGATCTCACCTAAAATGCTTCCTTCTTCTAGGAAGCATTCAGAGTTCTGACTCCCAGCTTAATGGCGTCCCGGGCATCCACAGCGCCCTTCATTCAGAATCCTAGCCTGCAGCGCCACCAGGCGTCCGTATTTACTATTGCATACAGTATTTGCCGTTTCCTTCCAAACTTGAACTCTGATGTATATCAATATCCTTTTAAGTCACAGAAGTGTTCCCCATCTTAACTCCAATTCTTAGTTACTGGAAGTTCTAAATAAACATTTGCTGAGTTAGATTTCAGTGAAAAAATACTTTTCAGAACAAACTAAAATGATATATTAGTATTCCTCATAAAAGTATCTTTGAGTACGCAAAGAAACTTTCTCTTGTGGGTCTCTTACTTGATTATATTCAAGAAATAAATGATAATGGATGTTTTAAAAAGTTTACAATTTTATGAAAATGATTTTTATTTTGAAATATATATCAGAAAAAGGCACAAATCAAAGGTGTAAAATTCAATGAATTTTCACCAAGTGAACACGTTCCTATGAGCAGAACACAAATTAAAACTAAAATGTTACCAAAACCCTAGAAGCCTTTTCCCGTCATTGTCTGGTCGCTAGCTTCCCCGCTAAAGGTAAGCACCCTTCTGAATTCTATCATAAAGGGTTTTTTGGTCTTTTTTCTGAACTTTTGTACAAATGGAGTTATAGAATATTACTCCTTCATGACTGGCTTCTTTCACTCAAGATTACGTTTGTAAAATTCATCTGTTGCACATTGTCCTAATTTATTTTATTCTCCTGGCTTTGAATTCTATTGTATGACTATACTACGACTTGTTTATCCATTCTCCAGTTGATGGACATTGGGTTTTCCAGTTGGGGGATATTTTAGTAGTGCTGCTATGAACATTCTTGGACATGTCTTTCGATGTGTATCTGTGCATTTATGTTGAATATATTCCTAGGAGTTAGATTGCTGTATGTTAAGATGTGCACCTATATTTAGCTTTAGCAGATATTGCAAAACAGTTATCAAATGAAGTTTTATCCAAACCAGCAAAGAATGAGAGTTCCAGTTTCTCCATATTCTTGTCAACATTTGATATTGTCTTTTAATTTTAACCACTGTGGTGATATCATATTGTGACTTTGATTGACACTTCTCTGAAGATTAATTAAATTGAGCATACTTTTTGCATGTTTATTGCTCATTAGGGTGCATTCTTGTGAAGTGCTTTTCAAGTCTTTTGTCTATTTTTCTATTTAGGGCATTTGCCTTTTTTTTTAACAACCTTTAGAAGTCCCTTATATGTTCTGGGTATAAGTACTTTTTTAGAAGTATGTATTGCAAATATCTTCTTCCACTCTGTGGTTTGGATTTTAACTCTCTCATGGTATCGTTGATGAACAAACTTCTTAACATTGATTTAGCCTAATTTGTCAATACTTTTAATTTGTGGTTAGGATTTTTGTGTTCTCTTTAAATCTTTGCATACTCCAAGGTAACGAAAATATTCTTGTATGGTATTTTTGAAAAATTACTTGACACATTTAGAACTATAATCTTCCTGAAATTAATTTTTTATATGAATGAGGTTAGGGTCAAAATTATTTTTTTCATGTAAACATCCAAATGACTTTGCACCATCTATTGAAAAGATCCATTTGCCTTTGTTTCTGAAATGTCATTTTGTCATAAATCAGATGACCATAGGTCTGCTCAAGACTCTTATTTTCAATTTTTCTCTTCATTTATCCTGCAATACCATAGTGTCTTAATTTCTATAGCTTTATGATGGGTTTTATTATCCGATAGATAAGTCCTCCAGTTTTATTCTTTTTCTTCAAAATTGCTTTGGTTATTATTGTTCCTTTGTATTTCTATGTAAGCTTTAGATTCAGCTTGTCAATTTTCATACAGAAATCTGCTGAAATTTTAAGATTTTACTGCATTTATAGATGCAATTGGAGAGAATTGACATATTCCCAACATTGAGTCTCCCAACTATTTAACATTATATATCTTTCTCTTTAACTTGTCTCAGTAATATTTTATATTTTTCAGTGTAGAAGTCTTAGGCATATTGTTAGATTTTTTTCTAGATATTGGTATTTTTGAAACTACTGTAAATGATACCTGAAATTTTAAATTTCCTGGTTTTGTGGCTATATAGAAATACAATTTATATTTGTATACTGACCTTATATCCAGAGGCATTGCTAACTTCATTTATTAATTCTAATAGTCTGTGGATTCTTTATGACTTTTTGTGTATACAATCATGTCATTTTTTAAAAAGACATTCTTATTTCTTCCCTTCCAATCATTGTGTCTTTTTTTTTCCTTTGCTTATTCCACTGGTTAGGACCTCTGGTAAAACACTGAAGTGAAATAGTAAAGGCAGGCATTATTGTCTCATTCTTGATCACTGAGGGAAAATTTCCAATAATTTACCATTAAGGATAATGTTTACTGTAGGTTTTAAAATACACTCTGAAAGTTCCCTTCCATTTTTAGTTTGCTAACAATTTTACCATGAACATATGCTGAATTTTATCAAATGACTTCTTCTGAATCCATTGAGATAATCATATGATTTTTCTCCTTTATCTGTTAATGTGATAAATTATAGTGATCAGTTTTCAAATATTCAATTGCATTTGTATTCCTAAAATAACACAATTTTCTCATAATTTATTATTTCCCTTTTATATGTTTCTGAATTTTATTTGCTGATATATTTTTTAGAATTTTTCTATCTATGTTTATAAAAGAGATTGGTCTGTAATTTTCCTTTCTCATAATGGCCTATTCAGGTTTAGATGTCATAACCCATTGAAGTTATGATGGCACCCAAATGATTTGGGAAATATTCTATTTTTCTGTTCTCTGAAAGAGTTTGTATAAATTGGTGTTATTTCTTCCATAAGTATTTGGAAGAATTCACTAGTGTGAATTCAAGTGGCATGGTTTTTAATAACAAGTTTAATTTATTTAATAGATATGACTAATGAGATTTCCTATTCTTGTTTCAGTTTTGGTAAATTGCGTTTTTAAAAGATGTTTTCCATTTTATATAAGTTGTCAAATTTATTGGCATAAAGTTGTTCACAATATCCATTTTAATTTTTTCATGTCTGTAGGATTGGTAGTGATGTTCCTTTTTCCTTCTTGATATTAGGAGTTGATGTTTCCTTTTTTTCTTGATTAGTTTTACTAAGAGTTTTTAATTTTAATAATCATTATGAAGAATCAACTTTCAGTTTTATTGATTTTTCTCTGTTGTATATTTGTCATCAATTGCATTTACTTATGTTTATGTGTATAATATATATGTTACTTTCATCCTTCTTTATTTTTGTTTGATTTGTTTCTTCAAGCTGTTCAAATTAAAGCTTAGATTATTGATTTTTAATTTTTCTTTTCTAACATAGGTATTTAAAGTTTTTAAATTTCCCTCTAAGTACTGTTTTGATATATCAGACCTTAATTTTTAACCAGTTCAAAATATAAGGAAATTTCTACTGTGATTTCTACTTTGACCCTTGGATTACATTATTTAATTTTGAAATATTTTGGTATTTCTTGTTATATTTTTATTTCTGTTTTAAGTCCACAGTCAAAGAGCATACTCTGAGTTACTTCAATTCTTTAAAAAAATCTTTTGAATTTTGCTTTATGACCCACAATATGGATAATTTTTGTATATTCCATATGCACATAAAAGAATATGTATTCTCCACTGTACCATGTATGTCAGTTTATTCAAATATAATTATTCTGCTGTTCAGATCTTTAATATTCTTTTTCTTTTTGAGGACGATTAGACCTGAGCTAACATCTGCTGCCAATCCTCCTCTTTTTGCTGAGGAAGACTGGCCCTGAGCTAACATCTGTGCCCCATCTTCCTCTACTTTATATGTGGGACGCCTACCACAGCATGGCTCGCCAAGTGGTGCCATGTCCACACCTGTGATCCGGGCAGGCGAACCCCAGGCCGCCAAAGCAGAACCTGCGAACTTAACTGCTGGGCCACCAGCTGGCCCCTTTAATATTCTTAATCTGTTTGTGTGTATGTGTGTGTCTTCTTATTCTATCAGGAATTGAGAGAGTATTGTCTCCTACTATGATTTGGATTTATCTATTTCTCATTTAGTTCTCTCAGTTTAGCTTTATATATTTTGTAATTATCTGATGGGGATATATTCAGTCTTAGAACCAACATATTTCTGGTAGATTTACTTCTTTATCATTATGAAACATCTGTCTTTATCTCTAGTAATGCATCTTTCCTTAAAGTCTCCTTTGTCTTATGTGAGTATAGCTACACTCGGTTTATTTTGGTTAGTGTTTTTATTATATATCTTTTCATATTTTTTAACTTTCAACCTTTCTGTGATAGCACACACACATACCTTTAGATGATAGCATATTATTGAATTTTTCTTAAACCTAGTCTGACCATTTTGGTTTTTTAATTGGATTATTTAATCTAATTGCAATCAATGTAATATTTGATATATTTCTGTTTATATTTACCATCTAATTTTTTTCTATGTGTCAGTAAAATTTCTTTCTTCTTTTGGATTATCCAGATAATTGTTATTTTTCATTTTTTCTTCAATTAGTTTTTTAGTTATTCTTTTTTTTTCTGCTGCTTCTTCTCCCCAAAGCCCCCCAGTACATAGTTGTATATTCTAGTTGTAGGTCCCTCTGGTTGTTCTATGTGGGATGCTGCCTCAGCATGGCCTGATGAGTGGTGCCACTTCCCCACCCAGGATCCAAACTGGTGAAACCCCAGGCCGGTGAAGTGGAATGCACAAAAATAACCACTCGGCCATAGGGTTGGCCCTTTTAGTTGTTCTTTTAGCAATTATCCTAGAGATTATAGCATGCATCTTTGATCCACAAGTCTAATACAAATTATTTAATGTTACTGCTTCCATGATAATGCTTAGAACCTTAGAACTTAACTATTTATACCATCTGCCTTTTACATTATTAGTGTCATGAATTTAAATTTTATATATTTTTTAAATCCTCTAATAAACTGCAACTTTTGCCTCGTATGATCAATATCACTTTATCTTTACCCCGACTCTTGCTCTAGTTCTTCCTGCCAATCTGTGATTCCTGCAGGACTGTTTTCCTTCTGCATAATAAATTCCACTAAAAGGATTTCTTTTAGTGCAGATGTGCCTGTAATTAATTCTCTCAGTTTTTCTTTGTTTGAAAACTTCATTTCTGAAGGATATATTTTCTGGTAATAGAATTCTAGTCTGGTAGGTTTTTTTTTTTTTTTTTTTTCAGAAATTTAAAGACATCATTCTTTTGTCTTTTGGTTTCATGATTTATGTTGAAAAGTCAGTTCTCCATGTTATTGCTGCTCCTGGAATAGTAATGTATCATTTTTATGTGGTTGCTCTTAAGATTTTCTCTTTGACTTTGGTCTTCAGCAGCTCTCCTATGATACGCCTACGTGTGCTTTGTTCTTTATTCTCCTAATTGGGTTTCATTGAGCATCTTGAGGGGTGAAGGCTTTTCACCAATTCTGGAAAATTCTTGATTATTATCTCTTCAAACTGCTTATTCCCCATTCCTTGTCTCTGTTCTCCTTCTAGGATTACAATCGTATGTATGTTAGAGTTTTTCATTATGCCCCACATGTCAGTAATGTTCTTGTCTGTATTTTTAATCATTTTATTCCTCTCTGCTTCTATTTGGATATTTTGTATTGGCCTGTCTCGCATTCACTAATTCTGTAGTCCTTTACATTTACCAGGACATTAAACCACCTAAATAATTTTTAATTTCAAATATTATATTTCTCAGTTCCAGAATTAATTTACATTTTAAAATTTCACTTCTCTGGAGAAATTCTCCTCTATCTATTTTCTCTATTTCTTATTTTTAACATATTAGTCATACTTATTTTAACATCATTGTCAGTGAATTGTAGTGTCTGTTTCATCTGTGGGTCATTTGTATTGTCTGTTTTATTTCTAGGTTTTATTCATGTCAACCACTTTTTTTATGTGCATGCCTAGTTATTTTATTGAATGCTGAATGTTTATGTAAAAAGCTGTCCAGGATCCAGATGATAGTATCTTCCTCCAGAAAGAGTTCAACTTTTCCTTGGGTAGTTCGATAGAGTCATGTCTGTTCAGATTGTCTGAATCCAAACAGGCACAGTGTTTAGTCAGGCTCTTTTCGGTCCTGATAAGCACCTGGCCCTCCAGGAATTTCACTCAAGACTTTAGTGTATTCTCCATAGTCCCTTACCATGGCAGCTCCCAAACTGAAATCTTTGTGCAGAAGGACTATTAAAACTTCACTCTGCTTTTCAGAAAATTTCCACTTAAGTTTTCAGTCTTCATCCCTGGGATGTCCCTGAGTTTACAAGTATCCTGAGGGGGAAAACTGGCCTTGAGCTTGAATCCTCCAGTTTACCAAAGGCTATTGAAGTTACTCTATCCCTGGCAGGAGCCTTTTGTCTGTTCTCAGGCTTAGCAAATTTCCTCAGGGCAAACTGATTGTAGGAGTCAGTTCACAGCTCCAAGGATTTTCCCTTTCAGGAATCTGAGCCTCTTCAGTTCTTATTATATCATCTGCTGTCTGTTGCTTCAAGTGGATAATGTCTGAATTTTAACTACTTTTAGTGGTCATTTTTTGCTCTTAGATAATCCATCTAACCCGGAAGCGTAATTCCACTAAATATGTGCATAATTTTTAACTTCAGACTATTTAAAATCTATATTTTTACAACTTTTCGTAGTAAAGAAAGAGGGAGTCTTAAAGTGATGGAGGCTCCATTGCCATCAGTAGAATTTCTGTCCCCCAAACGGCCTGTGTCAAACTCACTATATGCTGTGCCTAAAATAATAACAAAGGAATTGTAAAAATTGCATGTATTATAGAAGCATTTGAGAAACTATATGATTGAAAACTGTGTTATTATCCAGGTATTTGACCTCCATTCTCTATTTTTGTTTTGCAACAATGGAATTAGCCTATTTTTCAGAAGGTGTACATTTTGTGGAAGTTATTTGAATCATGTTTACTACTAACTTCTAACAATTGAATTTCAAAATGTGGATCTATTCTACACCAAAGTCTGGTGGTGATCCCTAAGCGGGTAAGGAATGGTCCATGCTTTATGAATACACACAGTAATTCATAAAGTAATACATGAAGTAATTCACAAATTTACTCACATAAATAAATAAAGGTGGGTTTTGGCTGTTTATTTGGCCAATCTCATTTGGGTGATTATACTAACTGGACTTTCCTGGCATAAACAAAAAAAGTGAACTTAGATTTTCATAATGTTGAAATATATTGGTAAAAACTTCCATCAGATTTCTTGCCATTATATAGAAAATCTATTTTATTTAAATAGCTAATAATAAGTAGAGAAATCATTAAAGGTGACTACCATATTTATGTCTTATATATCTGTTTGTATTTAATTTTGTTCTCATTTTTTATCACCCTCTAATTTCAATTTTTAGATTAGATGAAGGCTAAAACCTATGTTTCAAGAATAACTTAAACAGTCAGTAATTTTCCCTTTTTATTTTACTATATCCTTAGGAAAAAAGGTAATTCAGGAAAAAGTGCAAGTAATTAAATTCCAGTAGGATGACATTTGAGATTTAAAAATAAATATTAGATTATAAAGCAAGCTCTTAAACTGCTCACATTGTGCCTAAAGTTTAACTAAGTGGTCTTATATCCATACAAATTTAGTTGGAAACCATGTAATCGGCTTACATGGCTTATTGAACACAACATAAAACAATTATAATTCAGATAAGTTCATTTTTTATCTTATTTAATTTCTGTTTCTATTCTTATTGTCCTAAAGGACAAAATAATGCTTATTTCTTACAAATGAAAGTTCCGTATAATTAAAAAGTAAATTTACACAAAATGTCTGAAAGCTACATTGAAGAACAAAACAGAAGATAACTTGGACATCAAAAATAAATCATTATTTTGTTGATAAAAGCTGTCCATGTCTGCAAAGTAACTTAAAGTAAAAATCTGATATCACCTGATAATCAGACTTGAACAGAATAACCAAAACTCAGAAGAAATTCTCTGGCTCTTTTGAAAGGTGCGGAGAAGCTATAGGAAAACCAAGAGAAACATACATTAAACTACACTAGAACTTCTACTTATAGGGCAAAAGGAAGGACAAGGAAGTGTATAATGCCCTCCAGACTCTTAAATCCTTTGAAAGGACTTAGGGTTTATTTAAGATTCTGAGATTAATTTAAAAAGATTTTACCAAGCAGTGACTTAGTTTTATTTAGTGAAAGAGAAGTTGAATTATATTAAGATTTTTCATTCATTATTATTTATAAATGAGAATAATTTTTTAATTTTGGTATTAGTATGGAGCACTTACAACATGCTAGGTAAGTAGCAACCAAATAAATAAGATACTCTCTAGCATATGTTGTGCTCACAATAGGAGAAAGTCGTGATTTTAGTGTATTAATATTTTAATGAAGTGTATGTTTACGTACAAGTTGGGAGAAACAAGTTACGTGCTCACGGCTATTTAGGGGGATACTCCAGTAGAATAGTCTACAAAAAAGGCCTAGATAGCTATAAAGAATTTCAAATAATCTGGCCTTGTAAAGATAAAGTTACATGGTAAAGACAAGTACCATAAATATATGGAAATACACGATTACAAAAAGCTTTAAAATTTTTCATTAAAAAGACATTCACTAATTAAGAAGTTGATTTAAGTAAAATTTCTTCTTATGCCACTTGAATAATGTATAGTTATGGAAAGATTAATCGCCAAGAGAAGGTAAAATACAAAGAAAATACATATTCAATATCCAGCATAACTAAAACTGCTAAGTGCAATGAATATTAATAAAAGGAAGAGATTTAGCATGGTCAGGGACATGCATAGCTTTGGAATAGAGGTATCCATATTTAGACGACAATACAATTTCTTAAAAGAAAGGCATTCAAGTGGGGGTTAGGTTTGCCAAAACTAAGGGGAGGTTCACTTAACCAAATACAATACTTAACTGAATACAAAGCTATTCCTGCAGTTGGAGTTTTCTTTAATCTCTCTCTCAGCGTCCTGAACCAAGAGGTTGGGGAATATTGGCTTCAGGAATTTGAACTCACCAGTCCCAGGGTCTCCTGTCAGACACACCTCATACTGGTAGTTCTGGGACAGGGTCCCGGTGCCACTCACGTCCACCAGGTGGCCCGGAAAGGGGCCCTCGGGCACCGAACAGCGACCCAGCGACGCGGCCCTGCTCCTCCTGCACAGCCGCACCGCGACGAACAGCAGCACCGACAGGAGGAAGAGCGATGACACCGACGCCAGCGCGACGACCAGGTAGACGGTGAGCGGGTCGGCCCGCGCCTGCTCGGCCGCCGCCTCGGGCAGCGGCAGGTAGGGCTGGGAGAAGCCGTCCACCAGCAGCACGTGCAGCGTGACGCTGGCCGAGCGCGGCGGCTCGCCATTGTCCCTGACCTGCACCAGCAGCCTGTGCTTGGGCGCGTCGCGCTCGCTCAGCAGCCTGGCCGTGCGCACCTCGCCGTTGTGCGGCCACACGCCGAACAGCCCGGGCTCCGTGGCCTTGAGCAGCTGGTACGACAGCCAGGCGTTCTGGCCCGAGTCGCCGTCCACCGCCACCACCTTGGTGACCAGGTAGCCCGCCTCGGCCGCCCGGGGCACCAGCTCGGTGCAGGGCGCAGAGCCGTTCTGCAGCGGGTACAGCACGAAGGGCGAGTTGTCGTTGGCGTCCAGCACCAGCACGCGCACCCGCGCCTGGCTGCTCAGCGCCGGCGAGCCGCGGTCCGTGGCGCCCACGCCGAACTCGAAGGCCTGCAGGGCCTCGTAGTCCAGCGACCTGAGGGCGAACAGGTGGCCGTTGTCGGCGTTGATGGACACGAGGGAGGCCAGGGGCAGGTGCGGGTCCTGGGGCGGCAGCAGCGAGTAGGTGAGCTGGGCGTTGGCGCCTGCGTCTGTGTCTGTGGCGCTGACGCTGCCGATGTGCAGGGCGGGGCTGTTGTTCTCGCGGACCCAGAGGGTGTAGGAGGTTTGGGTGAAGGCCGGGGCGTTGTCGTTGACGTCGGAGACCAGCACGGTTATGTTGTGCTGGGTTTTCAGCCTGGGGGATCCCATGTCAGTGACCGTGATGGTGATGTTGTACTCGGCCTGGCTTTCTCTGTCCAGCGGGCTCTCTGTTACCAGGGTGTAGAAATTCTTGAAAGTCGGTTTTAGAATGAACGGCAGATTATCTGGAATAGAGCAAATCATCTTTCCATTGTCTCCGGAGTCTCTATCTCGAATTCTAAAGATAGAAACTACGGTCTCAGGAGCATTTTCTGGGATGGAGCTGGTAAGTGAAGACATGGTCAGTTCAGGGGCGTTGTCATTCACATCCACCACCTCTATGACTACAGTGCCTTTTCCAGAAAGGCCTCCTCCATCTGTAGCCTCAATTTCCACGTGGTAAGATTTAATTTGTTCAAAATCCAATATCTTTGTCAGTCGGATTTCTCCTGTGACTTCATCTATTGAGAAAGTTTGTTTAATTTCATCTGATGCTTGGAACAAGCCATAGGAAACGCTCCCGAAATTTCCAGCATCGACATCCCTAGCTAAAACTGTAAGTATTGGGGAGTCCACGGGGCTGTTTTCCAGGACCTGCACCTCATATGTGGTGTGCACAAACTCAGGAGCATTGTCATTGACGTCCATGATCAGGATTCGCACCATGGCGGTGCCAGACCTGGGTGGAGTCCCACCGTCCAGCGCCATGAGGGTCAAGCTGAACTCAGGCTGCTCCTCTCGATCCAGCGCTTTGTCCTGCACCAAATCTGGGTATTTCTTGCCCTCACTATGATTTCGAGTGAGAACGTGAAAGTGAGAATTGGAGCTGATAGTGTATTTTTGAAGACCGTTACTGCCCACATCCAAATCCTGAGCTAATTTTAACGGAAATATGGTCCCTGGCTGGCTATTTTCCAGTATTTTCAAGAGAATCTCCCCATTCGGGAATACTGGAGAGTGGTCATTAATGTCCTGGATTGATAATTCTCCCTCAAAAAATTGCATTGGCGTTTCCAGGAACACTTGGAAATGCAGTACACAGGGTTCAATGGGGCCACATAGCTCTTCCCGGTCTAGTTTCTCCCTCAAAAGCAAATCTCCAGTCTGACGATCCAGCTGCAAGCGCTGCTTGTCATCGTCACACACCACCCGGGCCGACCGGGCGGCCAGTTCCCCTATTCCCAGGCCCAGATCCCTGGTCAGATGGGCTACAAAGGAGCCGCTCTCTGTTTCTTCCAGCACAGAATAACGAATAGGCTCGGAGCGAGACTGAGACAAAAACACCATCAAAATAAAGGCCATCACTTGCCTGTTTGGTTGAATTCTCTCTAGCGTCTCCATGTTGGAACTCGGGTTGTTACGTTCAATCCCTTCAGCAACCACAAAAAGACTAGAGATAGTCAATTCTGATTTCTTGCCTCGTGGAATTATCACAGAGCTGCTTTTAATTCTAAATTTGTTGAGTATATCTCTGCTCAAACTCTGGTAAACCAGTGCTGCTGGCAAAGCTTCTTTCGAGTGTTTTTGATTCCGTCTTGCAACAAAGGAATACGCGAGCTTTTTAGGGCTCCTTATTCACAATCTTAGCCTGCAGCGCCACCCTGCGTCTTGATTGAGAAATTAATCTTCTGAAGTTGCAGCGAATTTTGAAAGCGTCCAAATGCAAGCCACTTTTTAAGGTGTATAGAACTTTAAAAAACTTTGGTATCCCATTAAATTGCATAATTTATAAGCTTATTCTATTACATTGCATAAGCTAGAATAATTGTGAGCACAAAGTAAGAGGATATCTCCGTCTCCCCACACCCTTATCAGTGGGACTGCAAAGAACTTCTATCTCCCCTTTGCATAATCTAACTAGGGGAGGTAAACTCTTATAAAATTACAATTCAAAATAGTGATAGCTGTTTATTTTCAACTACACGAGGAATTTATGATGATGTGAAAGTTTGTCAAGGAGTTCTGTACCACATGGTCTCAGGGAGACTAGTTTTCAAAGGAAAGGTTCTATTTCCCTACGCTGGTGTGCAAATTGTAATACAGTTGAATAAAGAGGCATCTTGCTTGGTTATAAGTTCTTTTACAGCATGAGCCTACATTAAATTTAGAAGGAAGTCAAATAGTATTAGATTCAGATTCTTAGACCTGGAGAAGAAATGAAAGGGCTTTTCTAGATCAGAAAATGAAGCTCAGAGGGTGATAGCACTTGATTATTCTACTTGACTATTATCAGGATAATGTCAAGGCAAATTCAAGTGAGTAAAAATCATAGAATTTTGCTAAGATAAAAGACTTTAAGCTTAATCTTACTTAGCTAGATAGATATCTATATTTTATAATGAGTTTGCTGCTTACCACATTGATCCTTTCTATCCCAGATAGCATATTCCTCCACTAGCTGATTTGGGGAAAAATAAGAAGCCCTGATTTAAAACATTTTAATCTGCGAGCAAACAGTGCCTCAGACCTTGTTTACTCATATTCGGTGGAGACGAGAGACTTGTTTATAAAATGGCTTCCAGCACACTGTGCAGCTATTGAGATTGCCCTGATATAGAAAGTCAACTGAGACACAGCCATTTTGGGGGGTACAATTAGTTTATTAATGGAGTACCACATATCTTGACACATATGATATTTCCTCCCCTTAAAAATCTTGTAATTTAATTTAATTACTTAATTAAACTAATAATTTAGCATTTATAATTCATGTTGAATGAATTATTTTAAAAGCATGTCAATAATCTTAGATTCTGATAGTGATAGAAAGTGTTAGGAAAATTATTTTAAAAGAAGCCTGGATATAGTGGTCATTCAATAAATATCAGTTGAATAAATAAGTTAATTAATCCACTGTAATGATTCTATTTCTACATATGTAAGAAGATTATTGTCAGGTTATATCTTCAGCCATTAACATGTCTGAATTTGAATATAGATTCTGAGAGATGCGAGCACAATGCACGCTAAGCACTACTCAATTAAATTTACTTTGATTCTAGTTCTGTTAATTCCTGCAATAGATTTAGCGATGACAACAATAATGATATTAATACACTTTAGAATTTCTTTCACATTTAAGGCAAATAAGAGGAGATACAATATGTATCAACATTAGGTACAATAAAAAATAAGAAATAACATATACTGAAAAGAATAAAAAGAAAGAATATCATTTTAGATATAAATGGAAAACAAATCTCCTGAGCAAAACAAAGAGCAAATTGTTCATAATATAAGTAAGTTCTAGTTAGATTCAACTTAGAGTTCAGAACAAAATTCAAACTATATTTTGTTTACTTATTTCTATATGTTGACAGAGCAATAGTGTTGCAAACCAGCTCTTTCAGTCCCTTTTGTCAATCCAAAGCAAATGAAATCTAGATGGTATTAACATATATGTCTTATTATATGTCAGATACTATTCTAAGCATTTTACATTTATTAACTTATTTTATCCTCCAAACAACCCTATGAGGTGGGCAGTCTTATTAGCCACATTTTATAGATGAAGAAATTGAGGCGTGGAGAATTTAAATAACCTGCCCATAGTCACACAGCATGTGAAATGGCAGAGCTAGGATTCAAACTGTTACAGTGGCTCCAGAATCCATTCTCTTCTCTTTCTGAGTGGAACTGGAGAGGTGAAAAACTTTTTAGTTTATTTAGATCCAAACTTCAGCCTTGCCTTGAGTACATAGATATCATAGGTGAATTATATTTGTATTCAAATTTTCAATTAATATAAGAACGCTTAAAATGGTTTGCCTGCCTGTAGAGATAGGTACCAGCAGAGAGAGGTGCTTACAAAACTTAGAAATTGGAAGGAAAACTAATAGTGTTTTGTTGAGATCATTAATTAGGTAAATAAAAAAATTTGAGTGACATAATGAATTTCCTCAAATGTTAGAGAAAAAAACCTATGTGTAGATTTTTTAAAATGTTATCAGGATATAATGTTAAAATCAGGAAGAGTGGCCAAAAGGATAGCCTAATATATTATGTCATGGATTATTCCCCCAAACTGCCAAACTTATCAGAAAAAAAAAATCTACTATATTATACCTGCATGGAAGAGGAGTTAATGATATAAAGACTGATCACTTGAAAAACCATTCCATTCCAGTCAGGAAAGGTGCAGTATCCATTCTGAAGGATTCATGCAAGGTAACACCATTGGTTGCCAGACCTGAAGCATGATATTTAATATTTTCTTTCCATTTTGAATATACAAAGAGAGACAGATTAATTAGAGGAGTAGTCTGGAAATTAAATAACAGCTTTAATTCCCCCCTGGTAAAATATAGGTGAGAACTTTAAATACCATTGAAGGAAAGAAAAAAAAATCATTTTAAAGGAATTTGAATACGAGTAGTCCTAAGGTTCAAAATGCTAAATCGATACTTTCAAGTTTTGAATAGTCTCACTTGCTTTAACAGAAGTGAGAGAATGTTTTTTAAACTTCATGGTGACTCAAGGGCAGTTTTGTTCCTAACTTGAAGGGAGAAAGTAGAAGGAGATTAAACATTAATTATTGAGAGAAAGAGATAAATTGGTGAAATAGGTAATTAGATTTTAACTAGTATTTTTAGTTCAGAATCAAAATAGTATTATTTCAAAGTATTAAGCTAACATTAATAATTGGTTAATATCAATGGTTTGCAGATTTTATTAGAAATTCTTATAAATGGAATTATCTTTTGGAATTTTTCTACTAGATAAATTAGATACATGAGCTGACCATTTGAATAAAATAACTGTAAAGCAAATAATACTGCTCACTGGTGAAAGCAAACTAAGATTTAGTATCAGGTAACCTTCCAAACTAAACTTACAAGATGTTTTTTAAAAACATACTCTTTGAAATGCAAATTTAGAAAGGAGATATTTGAATAATTACAGAGTGTGGCTTGAGAAATTTGTGATGGAATCTAAGACAATTTCTAATAATTTCTTGTAGTGCATGTTAAATAAAAAGATAGTATTTATATGTTTCATGTATCAAAATATTCAAATATCTAATGTCTAACTTATAATACATCCTTAAAATCAGGAGGTGCGACTCCTCCAACTTTGTTGTTCTTTTTCAAGATTGTTTTGGCTATTCTTCGTCCCTTGCATTCCCATGTGAATTTTAGGGTCAATTTGGCAATTTCTGCAAAAAAAAGACAGTTGGGCTTTCGATAGGGATTCTATTGAAATTGTAGACCGATGTGGGGTGTATCACCACCTCACGATGATAAGTCTTCCAGTACATGGACACTTTCCATTTACTTAGGTCTTCTTTAATTTCTTTTGGTGATGTTTTGCAGTGTTCAGTGGAGAAGTCCTGCACTTATCTTGTTAAATTTATTCACATTTTATTCTTTCTGATGCTATCATAAGTGGAATTGCTTTCTTCACCTTATTTTTAGATTGTCCAAAGCTAGTGTGTAGACATACAGTTGATTTTTGTAATACTGATCTTGCATACTCCAACCTTGCTGAACTCCTTTATTAATTTTAGTAGTTCTTTTTTGTGTGGATTCCTTAGGATTTTCTTTATGCATGATCATGTCATCTGCAAATATACTTTTATTTCTTCATTTTCATTCTGGATTATTTTATTTCTTTTTCTTGCCTAATTGCCCTGGCTAGAATTTCTAGTATGATGTCATATAGAAGTAGGGAGGGGGGACATCCTTGTTTTGTTCCTAATCTTAGGGGGAAAGGGTTCAGTCTTTCATTATTAAATCTGAAGTAAGCTGTGGGTTTTTATAGTTGCCCTTTATCAGGTTGAGGACACTCCCTATTATTCCTAGTTTGTTGAGTGTTTTTATCATGAAAAGGTGTTGCATTTTGTAGAATGCTTTTTCCATATTATTGGGATGGATGTATGGTCTTGTCCTTTCCTGTTAATATGGCATATTGCATAGATCGATTTTCATGTTAAGTCAACTTTTCATTTCTGGGACAAATGCCACTTAGGGATGGTGTATAATTCTTTTCATATGTTGCTGGAGTCAGTTTGCTAATATTTTGTTGAGGATTTTTGTATCTATATTCATTAGGGATATTGGTATTTAGTTTTCTTTTCTTGTGTTATATTTGTCTGGTTTTGGCACCAGGGTAATACTGGCCTCATAAGGAATTGGGAAGTGATACTGCTCTTTTTTTTAAAATGAGTTTTTGAAGGATTGGTGTTAATTCTTTAAACATTCAGTAGAATTCACCAGTGAAACCATCTGGTCCTGGGCTTTTCTTTGTGGAAGGTTTTTTGATTACTGATTAAATCTTGTTGAATAGGATGAGACATTCAGGATGAAGAAATCTATTTCCTGGGGTTGGCTCAGTGGCATAGTGGTTAAGTTCACATGCTCGCTTTGGCAGACCCAGGTTCCCTGGCCTGGATCCCAGGGGTGGACCTATGCAGCGCTTACCAAGCCATGCTGTGGCAGGCATCCCACTTATAAAATAGAGCAAGATGGGCACAGCTCTTAGCTCAGGACCCATCTTCCTCAGAAAAAAGAGGAGGATTGGCAATGGATGTTAGCTCAGGATCTTCCTCAAGAAGAAAAAAAAAATAAAAGAAAGAAATCCATTTCCCCAGCAAGACAGAAATTTAAGCAAAAAAAAAAAAAAAAAAAAACCCTTCAAAATGACAATATTTAGAGAATACAATTTTAATTTTTTATAAATCCCAAATTGTTCTAGAAGTTGAGTTTCTTACCAAAGACTTTCCTTATGGACAGCCCATATTAGTTAGAGACAATTCAGAATCTTCAGAAATCTGAACCCATTTGTCTCTGATATTCTAGTCAGAAACCTCTCACATTAATAGTTCGGGAACTAAGTCCCAGTAATGTAGATGTCCCCAAAATGCTCAGAAAATGGCCGTATTGAGCAGCAGTCCACTGAAGGTTTCCTGTTCATCCTCCATATCTGAGCATCAATGAACAGGAGCAGAGAGAATTGAAAAAGGAAGATGGCTAAGTCAAACCAGTGATCAAGAGGATAGAGAACCTGTCGGCTTGAGTAAACTTCTGCTGGTGGTCCAAGAAATGGAAAGTAAGGCGGGGATAGGTCTAGACCAGGTGTAGCATGACCATGCCAAATAGAGGTGGCTTCTAGTTGTCCTTAATAACAGCACTAGCTCGTGCCTGGCAGTGGCTATCACTTAGGAGCCTAGATATGCTTCAGTGCTCCACACTTCCAGGCTATAGGCCCACATGCTAAACATCAAGTACTCTGAGGCCTTGAACCATTGATGAAATAGTCATGAGTTCTAGCTCAAGTCATCGTCCAGGTTATCACCTTGTTCTACCCAGGACCAGCTCAGTGCACAATATAGGACTGCTTTGCAATGGCTTTTCTTTGTCATCCAGCGAGTTGTTTGTGTCATCCAGGACCACCATGTGCAGCACTATCATGCATATTAATTAAGACCATGACTTTTCTCCATAGGTAATCCCCATGTATCAATTACTTCAGTTACAACCTAATTTTCCTCAAAATCTGCTTGTCTACTCTGAAGATTGAAAAGTAAAAATGTCTCCATTAGCTCCTATGCCTACAGTCTTAACAGACACCACGACAACCAAGAAACAGAAGGTGACATTCCCTGACTGGGGCCCAGCTCAGATACATCGTTAGGTGTTGGTCCAGAACTTCTACTTGTTTGTCACAAAGTTGAACAAAGCTTCTTAATAAGGGTTGGATTTGTAGCGCCTAGTGCTGGAACTACCTTGAGACTCCTCCTGCCGCCCTTCCGCAAGACCACCAAAACCAGTGCTGGAGGAAGAGAAACCTCTAATAGGAGACGAGTTCTCAACAAAATATCACCAGGCATATGAGGAAGACCAACAGCATGAAAAATGGACTCAACAAATAATGTATATATAAGAAATAGAGATTCAGAACAATGTGCAAAGAACTTAAAAGTAAAAGATATTTAATTTTCTCAAAAAAAAGAGGAAAATAGCAATTGTGAAAAAAGAATAAGTTGTTGTGAAAACCTGCCAAATGGAAATTCTGAAGAAGAAAACTGTAGTCACTCAAACAAACAAAAAAATCAGTATATTGGGTGAATCTCTGGTTGGGACCTAGCAAATATCAGAACATCAAGAATAAAGAAGAATCCTAAAAGACAGTAAAGAAGTTTACAGACAAAAGAACGATAACTAGGCTGATAGCATATTTTTCATCAGCAGTGTTGAATACCAAAATAACAGAAGGAAAATTTAAAAATCTATGCTTGACCAAACTATCGGCCAAGAACACTAGCATTAGACATAAAAAGTAACTCTGAATTATGATTAATAGATTTCCAGCTTTAAAACATGTAACAATCTAATCTAAGAAGGAAAAGACTCCCAGAATAAGGTAGTGGGATATGTAGAAAAACTCACATTTAAAAATAAAGACCTCATTTGTAAGGAAGCCATATTTAAGGATTAAGGAAGATTTATAAACAGTATGGTAAGTTACTTTACTAGTTTTAATGAGTGATGTTTGAATATAGTTTAGCCTTTTAAAAATGCTACATAAAAGTTTAAAATTCATTTTCACCTCTTTGCTTTTTAATATTAAAAATTAGATTATGTGGGCTGGCCCCGTGGCTGAGTGGTTAAGTTCACACGCTCCGCTGCAGGCGGCCCAGTGTTTCGTTGGTTCAAATCCTGGGCGCAGACATGGCACCGCTCATCAAACCACGCTGAGGCAGCGTCCCACATACCACAACTAGAAGGACCCACAACGAAGAATATACAACTATGTACCAGGGGGCTTTGGGGAGAAAAAGGAAAAAGTAAAATCTTTTAAAAAAAATTAGATTATGAATATCAAGGAAGTATTTAAATTATTTATGAACTGATGTGTTTTCAGAGAGGAAAAAGGGAGAGTGCACACTATCTACAATTATGTTTTGGAAATAAATGAACAATTGGCTATATTGAAGTTTATTCAAAGATTTTGGGATCTTAAAAATTTCACTTAATTTTGATACCATGAAGACTAATCAAAGTTCAATAGAATAACCAATTAGAGGCCAGGGAATTTACATACAGATTTCAGGAAGTTAATTTGATGAGCAGAAAGTCTTGGAAGTTGACATTGTTTCTATAAATTACTTATACTGCACTTCTTCGTTGTCCTTGAAATCAAAGATGTGAGCAAGCTCAATGTGGAACATAATTGGATATTGATACATTATTTTACAGTTCTCTGAGTTTCCAGAAATCTCAAAAAGTGAAGGGGGACAATTAATTAATACACTGGCTCTATGGAAATTGGAGTTATTCTCTTACAGCCCATTCCTTTCTGAACATAGATAGTTCTTTTGAATTTCAATGTGAAGATAAGTTCAACGTAAACAAGTCCTTGAAAAATTCACTGATTTCCCAAATATTTTAAAAATTATTTATTCGACAAATATTACTCAAGTATCTACTAGGTGTGAGGCATTGGGCTATGTGCTGAAGATGCAATTCTGAATAAAACAGAAGAAGACTCTACCTTCAAGTTCCTTAGAGTCTAGCAAGGTTATTTAGTGTATTCTGGTGTGGGAGGTTCAAGTTTTCTTTAATTTCTCTTACTTTTTGAAACAGATCAGATACCATATTGTTCCAAAAAGAACTGGCCCCTACATTTTCCACATGACTTCATGTATTACTTTATGATATACTGTGTGTATTCATAAAGCATGGATCATTCCTTACCCGCTTAGGGATCACCACCAGACTTTGGTGTAGAATAGATCAACATTTTGAAATTCAATTGTTAGAATTTAGTAGTAAACATGATCCCAATAACTTCCACAAAATGTATATATTGCAAAGTGATCACAATAAGTCTAGTTAACATCTAGTTAACGTTCCTTTCCTCTTTGGGGAATTTTCAAAATCTTTGAGAAACTTCAGCTCTCTTTCTTCTAGTCATGAGTATTCAATTTCTGGAAAGTTATATCCCTCTGGATGAGAAAATACCTACGAGAAGAAAATTTATTTCTTCCTAATCAACTCCCTAACTTGGGACTAAATATTTTGTTACTTAAAAATGTTTCTTGGGGGTGGCCCTGTGGCCGAGTGGTTAAGTTCGCGCGCTCCGCTGCAGGCGGCCCAGTGTTTCGTTGGTTCGAATCCTGGGCGCGGACATGGCACTGCTCATCAGACCACGCTGAGGCAGCGTCCCACATGCCACAACTAGAAGAACCCACAACGAAGAATACACAACTATGTACCGGGGGGCTTTGGGGAGAAAAAGGAAAAAATAAAATCTTAAAAAAAAAATGTTTCTTTATTTCACTCAAAATAGCCATAAAATTTGATGTTTTTCTTGCTTCCAGGTTTTGTTCCTAGTTGTAGCTGCTTTAGACTTTCACAGTGATATTGCTCTCTCCTGCTCTTCAGAACTTCCTCATCTTGTATATTTTCTTTTAACTAAACTATAGGGACAGTGGATGGACAGTGTTTATCCCAGAAGGACAATACATAATCCTAAGTCATGTCAGGTTGAAATCTGAAGGAGGGAACTAAGACAGGAAACAAAGAAAATATTTACTCATATATCACCATATAAATACCAAGTAGATATTAATTAAAAAATAGGATTGGATAAACACTACTTTTACCATAAAGCATTTTGAGGTCCTATATACATGTACTTTCTTGAATTTTCTTTTTTTTAAATGGCCCTCATGTTGATAACATTTACATGTCAGAATTTACAAACCAAATTGTCATCACACCAGATGCCTTTACTAAACTCTGTTTTCATGCCAAATGGAAAAACACAATCAGTTCTTCAAAATACCTTAGGTTTAATTTTTTTCCTCACCACCATTAACACACTTTAGGCAAATATAAGAGTAATTTGCCCTGTTAACCTATATTTTTTATTCATTTTTCGCCCATATAAACAATACAATATTGAAATATTTGTTGCAAATGTCAAAACGGAAAGGAATTAAATGTATTACTTTCATGTCAGTACTATACCCCTAAAAAAGACAGTACACCTTAAAAATGGTTCATCTTAAAGAAAACACATTCTTAACTAGCCACAAATTTCATTAACCACAGACAAAGCTGTGTTAGGAGTATTATAAACAACATTATCTGACTACATTCAACCGGGTAAATTATCAGGTTGGTGGTTTGGAACTTTCTAGACATTGCTTTGGATATAAACTTTGAAGTGAATTCCTCAAAATGAACTTATTTGATATTATCATTAAAAGATAAATTTACTTTTATTCACCTATAAGAAAAAGAAAAGGAGGCATTAAGACTGCATTGGTAAGACAGGAAGCAGATGAAAAAAGGACAATATGCAAGGATTAATTAGCCAGAAAGAAAGTAAAATCAATATATAAACAAACTGTTATACTAACTAAAGATTCTCGAATTAAAAAGAAAATATTCATAACCAAACAGTTACTTTTAAATGCTTCTGTTAATGAAACCTAAGCTATTCTCAGATTTGGAGTTTTGCGCTAATATTGCTCAGTGTCGTGAACCAGAGCACTGGGAACAGACGGCTTGAGGAAACTAAACTCGCTGGTACCCGAACCGGCCCTCAGACACACCTCATACTGGTAGCTCTGGGACAGGGTCCCGGTGCCGCTCACGTCCACCAGGTGGCCTGGAAAGGGGCCCTCGGGCACCGTGCAGCGACCCAGCGACGCGGCCCTGCTCCTCCTGCACAGCCGCACCGCGACGAACAGCAGCACCGACAGGAGGAAGAGCGACGACACCGACGCCAGCGCGACGACCAGGTAGACGGTGAGCGGGTCGGCCCGCGCCTGCTCGGCCGCCGCCTCGGGCAGCGGCAGGTAGGGCTGGGAGAAGCCGTCCACCAGCAGCACGTGCAGCGTGACGCTGGCCGAGCGCGGCGGCTCGCCATTGTCCCTGACCTGCACCAGCAGCCTGTGCTTGGGCGCGTCGCGCTCGCTCAGCAGCCTGGCCGTGCGCACCTCGCCGTTGTGCGGCCACACGCCGAACAGCCCGGGCTCCGTGGCCTTGAGCAGCTGGTACGACAGCCAGGCGTTCTGGCCCGAGTCGCCGTCCACCGCCACCACCTTGGTCACCAGGTAGCCCGCCTCGGCCGCCCGGGGCACCAGCTCGGTGCAGGGCGCAGAGCCGTTCTGCAGCGGGTACAGCACGAAGGGCGAGTTGTCGTTGGCGTCCAGCACCAGCACGCGCACCCGCGCCTGGCTGCTCAGCGCGGGCGAGCCGCGGTCCGTGGCGCCCACGCCGAACTCGAAGGCCTGCAGGGCCTCGTAGTCCAGGGACCTGAGGGCGAACAGGTGGCCGTTGTCGGCGTTGATGGACACGAGGGAGGCCAGGGGCAGGTGCGGGTCCTGGGGCGGCAGCAGCGAGTAGGTGAGCTGGGCGTTGGCGCCTGCGTCTGTGTCTGTGGCGCTGACGCTGCCGATGTGCAGGGCGGGGCTGTTGTTCTCGCGGACCCAGAGGGTGTAGGAGGTTTGGGTGAAGGCCGGGGCGTTGTCGTTGACGTCGGAGACCAGCACGGTTATGTTGTGCTGGGTTTTCAGCCTGGGTGTCCCCAAATCAGTGACCGTGATGGTGATGTTGTACTCGGCTCTTTTCTCTCTGTCCAGAGCTCCTTCTGACAGAAGGGTGTAAAAATTCTCTGCAGATGGTTTCAGGACGAACGGGAGATCGTTCTCGATGGAACACACCATTTTCCCATTGTCTCCAGAGTCTAGATCCGAAACACTGAAAACAGCCACCACAGTCTCCGGCGAGTTCTCTGGGATAGGACTAGTAATTGATGACACGGTCAGTTCTGGTGCGTTGTCGTTCACATCAACTACCTGAATGATCACTGTTGATTTTCCCGAAAGGCCTCCACCATCCTTGGCTTCTACGTTGACTTCATAAGTATTAATCGCCTCAAAATTCAAATATTTGACTAGTTGGATATCACCAGTAATTGGATCCAGTCGAAAAGTTTTGCGAATTTCTTCCGAAGCATGAAAAAATGCATATGATATTGTCCCAAAATTTCCTGTATCTAAATCAGACGCTGAGACAGTGACAATAAGAGAGTTAACGGGGCTGTTCTCTAGAATTTGAACCTCATAGAGGGACTGCGTAAATTCTGGGGCATTGTCGTTTATGTCTAAGACCTGGATGTGAACCCGGACTGTCCCATACCTGGGTGGAGTCCCGCCATCCAGCGCCGTGAGCGTTAAACTGAGCTCAGGCTGCTCCTCACGGTCCAGCGCTTTGTCCAGCACTAGTTCTGCGTACTTCCTTCCATCCCTACCACCGCGTGTGAGAACGTGGAAATGAAAATTGGGACTGATCGTGTAGTTTTGGAGACTGTTTCTTCCCACATCCAAGTCTTCGGCATTTCCCAAAGGAATTACTGTTCCTGGTGGAGTGCTTTCTAGGATTTTCAGCTGTATCTCATTTTCAAAGAACACCGGAGAATGGTCATTCTCGTCTATGACCTGGAGCTCATTTGTAATAAATTGCAAAGGGTTTTGCAGTAATATCTGAAAATGCAGTATACATGGCTCTGTGGAGCCGCATAGCTCCTCCCGGTCCAATTTCTCCAGCAGGAGCAAATCACCGGTCTGATGGCTGAGCTGAAAATGCTGTCTGTTCCCTTTAGACATAACTTGGGCTCCCCTCGCAGCCAGTTCCCCTACACTCAGCCCCAGATCCTTTGCTAGGTTGGTTATCAGAAAGCCCCTCTCTTTTTCCTCAGCCACAGAGTAGCGTCTCGACTCAGACCCAGCCAGAGACCCACCCAGAAAAGCAAAGAGAAACAGAACTTGCCTTTGTCTAAGAAAGCGCTCCCCTCCGGCCTCCTGTGCACTGCCTGCCATGTTCTTCAAGGAAATACCGCCAAGCTGAGCCTGTGACGGCGCTGGAAAACGCAGTCTTTTGCCTCCCAATCTTTGCAGAAGGCCTAGCGAACAATCTTTTCCAGAAGCTCAGATCGGCTTGCTGAAAAATCTGCTCAGGCTCACAACGCCTAGTTGACCTCACTGGATCCGGGCGGTACAGAGCACGCAGGGTGCTGTGCTTTAATTCGCCTTCTTAGTCAACAGCGCCACCATGCGTTCGATCGTAGTTTCAAAATCTTGCAGAAGGGGTTTTGAATCTTGGGGTTTTGTTGTTGTTGGTTTGATTTTTTAATCGCTTACCCGGCTCAGATAATGCTACTATAAGTTGTATAAGTTAAATAAGCACAGGCTGGAAAATGAAATGTGTAATTATTATCGAAAAGAAGTGACTGTCCCTGGCAGAGTCCTTATTTATGTGATTTTGTGGAAGGGGACACTTGCTAGGGCTTTCCCTCAACCTATGGTTATTACTCATAGTTTTAAAAAGATTTTTCTCTAAATGATGACATGCTTCACTATCCTATTGGTGATTTTCTTTATTTTCCAGATTTTGTAAAGTGTGCACGAGTTACATTTCTAGTCAGAAAAACGCTATGAAAACATCTTTTCATTTTATCATCTTGCAACATTTCTCTCAAGGTGATGAATTATAATAGATGGAGTTGGAGGGGAGATCCAGAGGAGCACAAATGCCTAACTGCTGCCATATTTTTACACTCACTCAAGGGACACAGAGCTTTCCCCTCTTCTTAGTTCACAGTAATTTTCCGATCATTCACGCAACCAGTATTAACTGTTTCACCTGCATAACTGCACTTCATCTGTGGAAACAGACTATCGAGTTTGTAGACGTTAGGTGTAGTAGTAACAAGATAGACCACGTCTATATATCTTATACAATTTTCCCTCCAATGGGGTGAACAGACTTTAAACAGGTATTCAAACAAACTGTGAAAAGTGCTATACAGGAAATGTGTGCTGAGTGCACTGAAAGGATACAAGACGGGGGACCAACTTAATGGGAGGGGCTTGAGCAGTTCCCTCAGAGATGCCCCATTTAATCTGGAACATGAAGAATGCGAAGCTTGCCAGACTGAGACTAAGATGGGAAGATTCCATATATCAGAAACTGATAAGCAAGGCCGTGGGGCAGTAGAGCATGGCTATTCTAGATAGTGAAGGAAGGGCGGTGTACCCCAAACTTAGTGTCTCAAGAGTAAGTGGGAAGAGAAGGCTAAAGAGGAAAACCGGGGCCAAATAATGGGTGGTTGGATTTTATTCTAAGAAGAAGGAGGCTATTGCAAGGTTTTAGGCAGAGAAATGAAACAACACAAATAGCAGGCATTCAATACAGCTTCTTCACAATTAGCAGTAGTGTTACCCGAAGGGTCATCAATTAAGTTTACTCTTAACATCAGTGATACTAAAAATAACAACAATTACACCTCTATATCTTTATGTTATCTTCAAGATTTTCTTTTCAGGTGTACATCATAATATATTTCGAATTCTGTGTAGGTACATCATGTTCACCTCCCAAAGGCTAATTACAATCCATCACCACACACATGTGCCTAATCACCCCTTCTGCCCTCCTCCCTCCCCCTTCCCCTCTGGTAACCACTAATCCAACCTCCATTGTTATGTGTTTGTTTGTCATTGTTTTTATCTTCTACTTATGAGTGAGATCATACGGTATTTGTCTTTCTTTCTCTGACTTATTTCACTTAGCATAATACCCTCAAGTTCCATCCACGTTGTCACAAATGGCTGGATTTCATCATTTCTTATGGCTGAGTAGTATTCCATTGTGTATATATACACATCTTCTTTCTCCATTCGTACCTTGATGGGCACCTAGGTTGCTTCCAAGTCTTTGCTATTGTGTATAATGCTGCAATGAACGTAGGGCTGCGTGTATCTTAATGCATTTGGGTTTTCAAGTTCTTTGAGTAAATACCCAGCAGTGGAATAGCTGGATCATATGGTAGATCTATCCTTAATTTTCTGAAGAAACTCCGTACTGTTTTCCATAGTGGCTGCACCAGTTTGCACTCCCACCAGCAGTGTCTGCGGGTTCCCTTCTCTCCACATCCTCTCCAACGCTTATGGTTTCCTGTCTTGTTAATTATTGCCATTCTGACCAGAGTGAGGTGATATCTCATTGTAGTTTTGATTTGCAATTCCCTGATAGTTAATGATGTTGAACATCTTTTCATGTGCCTGTTGGTCATCTGTATATTTTCTTTGGAGAAATCTCTGTTCAGATCTTTTGACCATTATTCAATTGGGTTGTTGGTTTTTTTGTTGTTGAGACATATGAGTTCTTTGTATATTTTGAATATTAACCCCTTAACTGATAGATGGTTTGCAAATATCTTCTCCCAATTGTTAGGTTGTCTTTTTGTTTTGTTTATGGTTTCCTTTGCTGTGCAGAAGCTTTTTAGTTTGATGTAGTCCCATTTGTTTACTTTTTCTATTGTTTCCCTTGCCTGGTCAGACACCATATTTAAAAAACTGCTGCTGGGGCCAGCCTGGTGGTGCAGTGGTTAAGTGTGCATGTTCTGCTTTGGCGGCCCACAGTTCGCTGGTTTGGATCCCGGGTGGGGACATGGCACCACTCATCAAGCCATGCTGTGGTACGTATCCCAATATAAAGTGGAGGAAGATGGGCACGATGTTAGCTCAGGGGCAGTCTTCCTCAGCAAAAAGAGGAGGATTGGTGGATGTTAGCTCAGGGCTAAGCTTCCTCAAAAAAAAAAAAAAAGAGTGAAGAAATGCTGCTAAGACTGATGTCAAAGAACGTACTGCCTATATTTTCTTCTAGAAGTTTCAAGGTTTCAGATCTTACCTTCAAGATAAATTATTAGAATCATACAAACTTCCAAAACCGAATCAAGAAGAAGTAGAGAATCTGAATAGACCAATCACCAGTAAGGAGATCAAAACAGTAATAAAAAATCTCCCCAAAAATTAAAGTCCAGGAGCAGACAGCTTCCCTGGTGAATTCTACCAAACATTCAAACAAGACTTAATACCTATCCTTCTCAAACTCTTCCAAAAAATTTAAGAGCTGGGGAAGCTTCCTAACTCATTCTACGAAGCCAACATTATCCTGATTCCAAAACCACACAAGGACAACACAAAAAAAGAAAATTACAGACCAATATCACTGATGAACATCGATGCAAAAATCCTCAACAAAATACTAGCAAATCAAATACAAGAATACATTAAAAAGATCAAGTGGGATTTATTCCAGGGATGCAGGGATGGTTCAACATCCACAAATCAATGTGATACACTACATTAACAAAATGAAGAAGGAAAATCAATGATCGTCTCAATAGATGCAGAGAAAGCATTTGACAAGAAACAGCATCAGTTTATGATAAAAACTGTAAATAAAATGGGTATAGAAGGAAACTACCTCAACATAATAAAGGCCATATATGACAAACCCACAGCTAATATCATTTTCAATAGAGAAACACTGAAATCTATCCCTCTAAGAACAGGAACCAGACAAGGAAGCCCACTGTCACCACTCTTATTTAACATAGTATTGGAAGTCCTAGCCAGAGGACTTAGGCAAGAAAAAGAAAGAAAAGGGATCCAAATTGGAAAAGAAGAAGTGAAATTGTCACTATTTGCAGAAGACATGATTTTATATATAGAAAATCCTAAAGACTCCACTAAAAAACTTTTAGAAATAATAAATGAATACAGTCAAGTTGCAGGACACAAAAGCAACATACAAAAATCAGTTGCATTTCTATACACTAACAATGAAATAGCAGAAAGAGAAATTAATAATACACCCCATTTACAATTGCAACAAAAAGAATAAAATACCTAAGAATAAACTTAACCAAAGAGGTGAAAGATCTATCTGTATGCCAAAAACTATAAAACCTTGTTGAAAGAAATTGAAGACGACACAAAGAAATGGAAAGATATTCCATGCTCTTGGATTGGAAGAATTAAAATAGTGAAAATGTCCATACTTCCTAAAGCAATCTATAGATTCAATGCAATCCCTATCAAAGTTCCAATGACATTTTTCACAGAAATAGAACAAAGAATCCTAAAATTTACATGAAACAAGAAAAGACACCAAATAGCCAAAGGAATCCTGAGGAAAAAGATCAAAACTGGAAGCATCACACTCCCTGATTTCAAAATATACTACAAAGCTATAGTAACAGAAACAGCATTGTACTGGCACAAAAACAGACACACAGATCAATGGAACAGAATTGAGAGCCCAGAAATAAACCCACACACCTACGGACAGCTAATTTTCAACAAGGGAGCCAAGAACATACACTGGAAAAAGGAGAGTCTCTACAATAAATGGTGTTAGGAAAACTGGACAGACACCTGCAAAAGAATGAAAGTAGACTATTATCTTATACCATGCACAAAAATCAACTCAAAATGGATTAAAGACTTGAATGTAAGACCTGAAACTATATTTATATTATCTTATTTGATCATAACTGCAAGCTATTCAAATAGCTGTTGTTATCATTTTGGAGGGAGAGAAATTATGTGACACATCCAAGATCCTTACAGGTAATAAGTTGGTTGATCAAAGACTTTTTGTTTCTTTCTTCCAAAGATTGGCACCTGAGCTAACATCTGCTGCCAATCTTCTTTGCCTTTTCTTTTCCTTCTTCTCCCCAAAGTCCCCAAGTACCTAGTTGTATATTCTAGTTGTAGGTCCTTCTGGCTCTGCTATGTGGGACACCACCTCAGCATGCCTTCATAAGCAGTGCTAAGTCTGTGCCCAGGATCTGAACTGGTGAAACCCTGGGCCACTAAAGCAGAGCATGCAAACTTAACCACTCGGCCATGGGGCCAGCCCCAGAGGAAGGACTTTTGATACCAAGATAGTGCGCTATGCCAATGCCACTCTCAAAATGAGACATTTACAATTCATAAAATTCAATTCACAATTTTAATAGCATAGCTCATTCAAATAAACATAAAATTATGGAAAAATCTAAAGATAGACTGAAAAACATTATGAATTATAATTGTGTTTTAATGTACGTATTAATCATTGAACTGCAAGGAATATAGCTGGATGAATCATTTAGAGAATTCTAGAAGGAAATTTAAATTATAAAATTGAAAACACAATTTCCCCATATGTATTCCTTAAGCTAATGGGCAGGAGAGGAGACTCAAATTAAGCAAGGAGAGAAAAGGAAAAACATATTGAAGGAAAGAGACCCCAGCGACTGTGACTGGATAATGGTTGAATAACAGTGATCAATTCAATTAGTAACCAAAAATTATATATATAATTCTTTATACATCAGAGAACATTTAGTTCCAGCAAAATTTTGTCCTGTATTTTAGTATATTTAAATAGCAATCTATCACAGGTGAAATAAAGACCCTTCTTCTTTCAATGGTCATTCAAAAATTTTATTAAGAACCTACAATCTTTCAGTCATAGTGGTAATCATGCAATAAATGGGGAGCTATTGAGAAACATAACTCAAGCACCGAAAAAGCATTGAAAAGTCTAGGAAACTGAAATGGGAAAAGTAGTAGTCAGTGCAAAAAAGAAAAAAGAATGGGCAGAGCTGGATAAATATTTTCCCCAAAAATATTGGGTTTATTTCCAATCGAATCATAAATGCTCCAGAAAATTTTGAGAAATGTAATGCTAAACTACATTTAAAGTTTCTAAAATTTGTTCAAGGACAAAAACAAATATGCCCTCAAATCTTTTGGATTTTAATCAAGTGTTCAAAGTTAATAGTTTCTAATAATTAAAATATATTTTTTAAAAGAAGGGATTGTAATAAACAGGTTCAAATTTTTTTTTGGAAACAAAAAGCATGAAGAATTAGCATGTCTTTGAAAATGACTGGCCATATGCTATTTATTTAACTACAGTTTAGAATATTAGTGGTTGATTTATTGAGCACTTCTAATGTGAATGGTTGGGGAATCCAACAGTCAAGGTTCTCATGCTCTCTAAAGAATCATAATTTTCATTATAGACACTTTAAGGAAATATACATTTAGAAAAATGTGAGAGAGTGCTCTGTTATTCATGACTATACCTATGCTAATGGTTTTAGCCAAAGTGAGTTCATAGTTAAAAGTTAAACTAGCCAAAGACAATGTACAAACACAAATATTCTGGGTCGGAAAAAGAATAACCCCATGCAGCCATAGCAAATCTTTAAAAACGCAGGACTGCAAAATTACCTAGGAACTCTGGACGTGAGTTCGGAAAAAGAAGCTCTAAACCAAAAGTTAAAGACTTCTGAAAATGCAAAATTTACTTTCACACTTTAAATCGAATTAAGTTAGTGAGCCTTATCAACAATAAGAATATGAAGAAAATTTGCATTCATTATACCACAAAGCAACACATTTAGAAACACCAGGAACATGCACTGAAAAGGAATAAGACAGTTACATTTCAAATGAAAAGAAACAACCCCAATGTGCAAGGCAGTAAAAAAGGACTTTCCACAAATTAACTGAGAGTTGGCTCAGTAATCCTTGTAATTAATAGTTAATTGGATTCAAAGGTATCCCTGAAACTGGGGTTTGCCTCATTAACCCTCTCCTCACCCTGAGCAAGGAAGTTGGGGAGAATCGGCTTGAGGAACTTGAACTCGCTGGTACCCGAGCCTCCCCTCAGACACACCTCATACTGGTAGCTCTGGGACAGGGTCCCGGTGCCACTCACGTCCACCAGGTGGCCCGGAAAGGGGCCCTCGGGCACCGAGCAGCGACCCAGCGACGCGGCCCTGCTTCTCCTGCACAGCCGCACCGCGACGAACAGCAGCACCGACAGGAGGAAGAGCGACGACACCGACGCCAGCGCGATGACCAGGTAGACGGTGAGCGGGTCGGCCCGCGCCTGCTCGGCCGCCGCCTCGGGCAGCGGCAGGTAGGGCTGGGAGAAGCCGTCCACCAGCAGCACGTGCAGCGTGACGCTGGCCGAGCGCGGCGGCTCGCCATTGTCCCTGACCTGCACCAGCAGCCTGTGCTTGGGCGCGTCGCGCTCGCTCAGCAGCCTGGCCGTGCGCACCTCGCCGTTGTGCGGCCACACGCCGAACAGCCCGGGCTCCGTGGCCTTGAGCAGCTGGTACGACAGCCAGGCGTTCTGGCCCGAGTCGCCGTCCACCGCCACCACCTTGGTCACCAGGTAGCCCGCCTCGGCCGCCCGGGGCACCAGCTCGGTGCAGGGCGCAGAGCCGTTCTGCAGCGGGTACAGCACGAAGGGCGAGTTGTCGTTGGCGTCCAGCACCAGCACGCGCACCCGCGCCTGGCTGCTCAGCGCCGGCGAGCCGCGGTCCGTGGCGCCCACGCCGAACTCGAAGGCCTGCAGGGCCTCGTAGTCCAGGGACCTGAGGGCGAACAGGTGGCCGTTGTCGGCGTTGATGGACACGAGGGAGGCCAGGGGCAGGTGCGGGTCTTGGGGCGGCAGCAGCGAGTAGGTGAGCTGGGCGTTGGCGCCTGCGTCTGTGTCTGTGGCGCTGACGCTGCCGATGTGCAGGGCGGGACTGTTGTTCTCGCGGACCCAGAGGGTGTAGGAGGTTTGGGTGAAGGCCGGGGCGTTGTCGTTGACGTCGGAGACCAGCACGGTTATGTTGTGCTGGGTTTTCAGCCTGGGTGTCCCCAAATCAGTGACCGTGATGGTGATGTTGTACTCGGCTCTGCTTTCTCGGTCTAGGGCTGTGTTTGTCACTAGAGTGTAAAAATTGTCAACAGAGGGTTTAAGGAAGAAAGGAAGATCATCTTGGATGGAACATACCATTCTTCCATTGTCTCCCGAGTCAGGATCTGAAACACTGAATACAGCAATTATGGTCTCCTGCAAGTTTTCTGCGATCTCACTGATGAGTGTTGACATGGTCAGTTCAGGAGGGTTGTCATTCAAATCCATCACCTGGACGAACACCACACAACTTCCAGAAAGGCCTCCACCATCTGTCGCCTGAACATTTAAGGTATAAGTCTGAATGGATTCGAAATCCAGTTTCTGTGTTAAAAGGAGTTCTCCCGATTTTGCATTTATTCGAAAAGTTTTGCGAATATCTTCAGAGGCTTGGGAAAATACGTAAGATATTTCTCCATAGGCTCCGATGTCTAAATCACTAGCAGAGACGACGGCAACCTGGGATCCAATCGGGCTGTTTTCCGGGACCTGCACCTCATAGAGCAGATTTGCAAACTCTGGGGCGTTATCATTGATGTCCAAGACTTCAATGCGGACCAGGGCGGTGCCAGACCTGGGTGGAGTCCCGCCATCTACTGCGGTGAGGGTTAACCTGAACTCAGGCTGTTCCTCGCGATCCAACGCTTTGTCCAGCACCAGCTGTGGTAATATCATGCCATCGGCACTGTCTTGTAATTTAAGATGGAAGTGTGAATTGGGGCTGACTGTGTAACTTTGGAGACCGTTGCTTCCTACATCTAAGTCCTGGGCACTTTCTATTAGAAAAGTAGTTCCGGGAGTGATACTTTCTGAAATTTTCAAAATTCTTTCTTTGTCTAGGAAAACCGGGGAGTGATCATTTATGTCCCTAATTCGTAGCTCGGCGTGAAAAAACTGCAAGGGATTTTCCAATAACACCTGGAAAGGCAGTACACAGGGCTCGGTAGGGCCGCACAGCTCCTCCCGGTCCAGTTTTTCATTTAACAACAAATCCCCGGTCTGTCTATCCAACTGCAAACGCATTTTTCTCCCTTTGGAAATGACCCGAGGCCCCCGCGCAGCTAGTTCGTCTACCTCTAGTCCCAGGTCTTTGACCAAATTGGCCACAAAAGAGCCACTCTCCGTTTCCTCAGCCACTGAATAGTGCCTAGGCTCGGAACCAGCCTGAGCTACGCCCAGCAAAACAAAGAACATCAAGACTTGCCTTTGTTTCAGAGAGCGTTCCTTTCCCTCTTTGGCCTCCATCGCCTTCTGGTCTCAGCAAATCTGACCCAGCTCGGGCTTGCGTTGTCGCCGTCTCTATCTCCCAGTATCTCGAAGATACTGGGGGTAAGTGGAGACGCCTAGGGCCCTGATTTCCCGGAGCGACCGCCTTAGAAAGCCTCCCCTTCCTGCTTGCTTCTTTAGCAGCGCATCTGGCTAAAGGAGCGCCGGCTGGTAGCTTTCCTCCTTCTACTTCTAATGCTGCAGCGCCACCCTGCGTCCTTTCCAAGTGTTTATTTTATCCAAAACATTAAGAAAACCCCACAGGTTTCTTTCAGTCCGATGGCAATCTAAATGGAATATTTCCAAGTAGTCTCTCTCAATGTACCGAAGTCTTATCTGTGTTTGGAAAGGCTTTTTCCGTTGCATTCATTACAACATGGCAATCAAAGACGAATTTCCATTCCAGTTTTCTCACCATCCAATCAGCTCTTTTTAAACTGGACAAAAATCAATTTTAGAAACTGGAAGAGAGTAACTTCAGTCCTAGGATGAAAGAAGGCTTTGACTAGGAAGTTCCCAGTTTTTTTCCAGAGCTCAGGCATGTGAGCATCTGGATGGTGGTTAGGCTACCATCCTCATGCTCAGGCCCAACCAAAAAGTATAGAGACCCAGGGAAAGCACAGAATTCAAATGAGAACATTCTCCTGGACACTGAAATATTCTCCTGACACATATTTCTCTCTTGCACTAGTCCCATTTCACAATTCCATGAAATTTGATGTGTTTGAGTCACATGAAAATCTCCGAAAATAGCTGGATAATTTCTTCTTGTGAATGTCAATATTTTTATTTTCCTTTCTAATAGATAAGAGCATTTTTAAACATAACTTCAATTCAATTATCACATCTAGCAACATTAATAATTTCATAATATAAAGTACCCAGTAAACACTGAAAATTTTCCTATCTTTTAAAAATGTCTTTATAGAGATAATTTGTTAAATCAGGTGTCAAATAAGGTATATATATGCTGGATGTTTGTTGTTAGGTTTTTAAAGTTTCTGTCTTTTTGTGTTTTAAAATAATATTTGATAAAAAGAAATGAGTTATCAAGCCAAAAAAGACATGGAGGAAACTTAAATGCATATTGCTTAGTGAAAGAAGCCAGTCTGAAAAGGCTACCTACATACTCTATTATTGCAACTACATGACATTCTGGAAAAGGCAAAAGGATAGACACATTAAGAAGGTCAGTGGTTCCTGGGGGCAGGGGAAGAGGAATCGAGAGGTAAAATGCAGTGGATTTGAGGGCACTGAACCTTTTCTTTATGATACTCTAATGGTGGATACATGACACTATGCATTTGTAAAAGCCCATAGAACTGTACAACATAAAGAGTGAGCTCTAATGTAAACTACGGACTTTAGTTAATAATAATGGATCAATATTGGTTCATCAATTATAACAAATATATCACACTAATGCAAGATGTTAATACGAGGGGAAACTGTGAATGGGAGAAAGTGGGCATATGAGAACTCTCTGTACTATCTGCTCAATTTTCTGTTAAACCTACAACAGCTCTAAAAAATAAAGTCTCAAATATTTGTATTAAATGTTTCAAATATATAGAAAAATTAAAAGGAACTGTACAAATATAATTCTACTCTCCATCCAAATTTAAAAATTGTTTGTATTTTGCCATATTTCTTCTATCTATCTATATGTTTTATTCTACACACACATATCCCTTTTATTGGCTGACACATTTGAAAGTAACTTGAAGACATCATGACACTTTGCCTCTAAATATCTCCTGAGTAAGGACATTATCTCACATAATTATAATGCTACTATCACACTTAACAAAATTAATAATTCCATAATATTATCTAAAGTCCAGTTCCTATTAAATCTCATTAATTATCCTTCCATTATCCTTCCTCAATTTCCTTCAACTTTAATAAGGGTTAATATTCACTCTTGAGTTCCTTTTACAAATGCACTTACTTTCTTAACCACTTGTTATAAGGAATGGCTTATAAAATTTGTTTTTTAGCCAAGTTTTATGATTGTATCAGGCGTTACATCTATTTCCTCTAGAGAAGACCTCCTTATGATACTGAATTTTTTGAAGTGTCCAGACCAGTTGTCCTGTAGGATGTCCTACATTCTGAATTTGTCTGATTGTTTCCTCATGGTGTCATTTAACCTGTTCCTTTGTTCTCCTGTATTTCCAGAAAACTGGAATGGATAACTTATTAAATGTAAAAATAGCATAACATTTTTTAAAGCTCTCTTTTATTTTCTGTAATTGGGTAAAAAAAAAGGGCAATTACAGGTATTCTTTTTTAACGTTTAGAAAATGAATGCCTACTTGTATTCTGTTGAGATTAGTTTTTGCTTTTCATGATTATTGCTTTTATATTAATATTATAATAATTCAAAATATTTTAATTCATTGACATCGAGCATTTAACACAATTCATCCAGGTGAATACAACCCAAGACTCAAATCTTTAAAAACAGTTCTTTGTACAGGCTGTAAAATTTGATGAAGGTCAGAAATAGATGTAGTGAAGATCACTTACATCATAAAAGTAAATGATGTCAGGTGGATCACCTGAAATTTTACATTTAAACCAAGCATATGATTATTTAGTTTTGATTCTCTAAAGCATAACTAAAGCAGCTACAGTGAATTTTGGGATAACATAAAGGAGAGGAAAGTAAGAAATATGAAGAAAATTACAAGAATCTAGCATCTCTTAAAAGTTGAAGAATTAAAAACTTCATATCTGAGATATCTCAGAGGAAAAAACGCCCCAGAACACATTCGGTTTTGTTGTGCAAAAAAATTTTAAAACCTCCCATGATGAGTCATATGTGTTCTCACAATTCATGAGGTTTCACCCTTCTTTCAGCTTTAATGCTATTCATACATCTAAAAGTAAACAGAAGTTTCTCTATTTCAGAGACGATATTTGTAGATGGTTTCCAGATTTCAATGCATTATATCCACTGTTATTTTAAATCATTTAAATTTAAATTCTTAAAACTTGAGGAGAGTTCACATTCCCCCTCAAGTACTCTTTACAAATGCTTTTATTTTCTAAATCTCCATTAGGTAATCCATAAGTAATGTAAGTTAGAATTAGAATATACTGTATTAAAAAAATCTAAAGAAAATATATTATAAATTTATAAATAACTATATTATAAGGAAGGAATCTATTATATAAGGAAGAATTATGTCATTACATTAGGTTTAATTTTTTATGTTTGACTTCCCTTTTTAAATACTGCCCAGTCAGAGATGTTATTCTAGGAGTCACTTGTATAATTTTGAAGATTATTTTCAATAAAATCCAACATAGTAAAATATCATACAAATGAAGGATTTTATATATTGGAACAGAAAAATATTTTCAAAATATATAAAAGAAAATGAAAGCAAGTCATCATAATCTTACTAGAAGACAAAAGAATCAGCCATTTAAAAAGAAAATAACACATTGCTCGAGGATCTATCATAATTCGGCTTGCCTCTCTATTTTGACTATTTGATAGGTTCTGTGAACTAAAGCAGTTATGGTGAATTTGGGGATAATATAAAGGAGAGGAAAGTAGGAAATATGAAGAAAATTACACAATCTATAATTATACATTACCAGTACTTTGAGAAAAAGTAGTCAAAGAGATTTACAGGACCATTTTTCCCTATGAAAGATAGTGCCAAACAATATAGAGATATTATCCATACTACTAGCCCTTTTTCAAAAGAGAAATCTTCAGGGGCTAGCCCCATGGCCAAGTGGTTAAGTTTGCGGGCTCAGCTTCGGTGGCCTGGGGTTTGCCAGTTAGGATCATGGGCGCAGACCTACACATTACTCCTCAAGCCATGAGGTAGTGGCATCCCACATAGAAGAACTAGAATGACTTACAACTAGGATATACTGCTATGTACTGGGGCTTTGAGGAGGAAAAAAACAGAGGAAGATTAGCAACAGATGTTAACTCAGGGCCAATCTTCCCCACCAAAACAAAAAAGCACACATTTAAAAAAAGAGAGAGAGAGAGTAATCTTCAGACCTTCAATGGCCTTCAGCCCACAAACTGGCTTTACACACTCAGCAATAAGATGGCGGAAGAAAGAGAGTTTTTTCAGTGACCTACCACTGAGACGCTGCAGGAAATACATGAGAATATTCTAGCATGAATCAAAAATATCCCAAAGAATAAAACCCCAGGACCAGATGGCTTTCCTGGGGAATTCTACTAAACTTTCAGAGAGGACTTAATACTTATACTTTTCAAGCTATTCCAAAGAATTAGGGAAGATGGAACACTTCCTAACACATTCTATGAGGCCAACATCACGCTGATACCAAAACCTGACAAGGACACCACGAAAAAAGAGAACTACAGGCCAATATCACTGATGAACATAGATACAAAAATTCTGAACAAAATTTTGGCAACCAGAATTCAGCAATTCATCAAAAGGATCATACATCAGGATCAGGTGGGATTCATACCAGGGACACAGGGATGGTTCAACATCCGCAAATCAATCAACGTGATACACCACATCAACAAACTGAGGAATAAAAACCACGTGATCATCTCAATAGATGCAGAGAAGGCATTTAACAAGATCCAACAGCCATTTATGATAAAAACTCTGAACAAAATGGGCATAGAAGGAAACTACCTCAACATAATAAAGGCCATATATGACAAACCCACAGCCAACATCATACTCAATGGGCAAAAACTGAACGCCATCCCCCTGAAAAGAGGAACGAGACAAGGATGCCCTCTATCACCACTCTTATTTATCATAGTACTGGAGGTCCTGGCCAGAGCAATCAGGCAAGAAAAAGGAATAAAAGGAATCCAAATAGGGAGGGAAGAAGTGAAACTCTCGCTGTTTGCAGACGACATGATCTTATATATAGAAAGCCCCAAAGAATCCATTGGAAAACTCTTAGAAGTAATCAACAACTACAGCAAAGTTGCAGGGTACAAAATCAATTTGCATAAATCAGTAGCATTTCTATACTATACTCCAGTAACGAACTAACAGAAAAAGAACTCAAGAACACAATACCATTCACAATCACAACAAAAAGAATAAAATACCTTGGGGTAAATTTAACTAAGGAAGTGAAGGACCTATATAATGAAAATTACAAGGCCTTTCTGAGAGAATTGGATGACGACATAAGAAGATGGAAAGACATTCCATGTACATGGATTGGAAGAATAAACATAGTTAAAATGTCCGTTCTACCTAAAGCAATCTACAGATTCAATGCATCCCAATCAGAATCCCAATGACATTCTTTACAGAATTAGAACAAAGAATCCTAAAATTCATATGGGGCAACAAAAGACTCCGAATTTCTAAAGCAATCCTGAGAAAAAAGAACAAAACGGGAGGCATCACAATCCCTGACTTCAAAACATACTACAAAGCTACAGTAATCAAAACAGCATGGTACTGGTACAAAAACAGGCACACAGATCAATGGAACAGAATTGAAAGCCCAGAAATAAAACCACACATCTATGGACAGCTTATCTTTGACAAAGGAGCTGAGGGTATACAATGGAGAAAAGAAAGTCTTTTCAACAAATGGTGCTGGGAAAACTGGAAAGCCACATGGAAAATAATGAAAATTGACCATTCTTTTTCACCATTCACCAAAATAAACTCAAAATGGATCAAAGACCTAAAGGTGAGACCTGAAACCATAAGGCTTCTGGAAGAAAACGTAGGCAGTACACTCTTTGACATCAGTATTAAAAGGATCTTTTCGGACACCATGCCTTCTCAGAGAAGGGAAACAATAGAAAGAATAAACAAATGGGACTTCATCAGACTAAAGAGCTTCTTCAAGGCAAATGAAAACAGGATTGAAACAAAAAAGCAACCCACTAACTGGGAAAAAATATTTGCAAGTCATATATCTGACAAAGGCTTAATATCCATAATATACAAAGAACTCTCACAACTCAACAACAAAACATCAAACAACCCAATCAAAAAATGGGCTGGAGACATGAACAGACATTTCTCCAAAGAAGATACACGGATGGCCAATAGGCACATGAAAAGATGCTCATCATCGCTGATCATCAGGGAAATGCAAATCAAAACTACACTAAGATATCACCTTACACCCATTAGAATGACAAAAATATCTAAAACTAATAGTAACAAATGTTGGAGAGGTTGTGGAGAAAAAGGAACCCTCATACACTGCTGGTGGGAATGCAAACTGGTGCAGCCATTATGGAAAACAGTATGGAGATTCCTCAAAAAATTAAAAATAGAACTACCATACGATCCAGCCATCCCACTACTGGGTATTTATCCAAAGAGCTTGAAGTCAGCAATCCCAAAAGTCCTATGCACCCCAATGTTCATTGCAGCATTATTTACAATAGCCAAGACATGGAAGCAACCTAAGTGCCCATCAACAGACGAATGGATAAAGAAGATGTGGTACATATATACAATGGAATACTACTCAGCTGCAAAACAGAACAAAATCATTCCATTTGCAATAACATGGATGGACCTTGAGGGAATTATGTTAAGTGAAATAAGCCAGCTAGAGAAGGATAATCTGTGTATGACTCCACTCATATAAGGAATTTAAAAATATGGACTAAGAACAGTTTAGTGGATACCAGGGGACAGGTGGGGTGGGGGGTGGGCACAAAGGGTGAAGTGGTACACCTACAACACGAATGACAAACATTAAGGTACAACTGAAATTTCACAAGATTGTAACCTATCATTAACTCAATAAAAAAAAAAAGAATATTCTAGCATGGGAAGGGAGTGTTCTGGCACCTTTCATTATCTTAGGGTGGGAATTGTGAGCCTGTGGTAACAAACAATTTGCTTTTGCTTATTAAAGATACAAACAAGTAAGTTTTCCTGTAATCTATCAAGATACACATTTCACAAAACTCACGTAAGCAGGATTTCAAAATAAAGGTGATTCAAGCAGAGAAAATGAAGGTGTTGTTTGTTCTCTTTCCCCAGTACAACTGGTTTTGAAAGACACTTGCATAAGAATCTTGGCATTTTTTGCTTACGGAGAATCATCATAGTCTATTAGTACAACCTGTTGCCTTGAAAATAAAGATGTTGACCAGGCATTGCCATGGGTTATAGTGGACTCTCTCTCCTAGAGATATGTAGATATACATACATGTATATGTTTTCATAATATATATGATTTTCCCCAAGAATCTCAGACATCTCTCCCATCATTAAAATAGGTTAAAACTTCTATCAGGTTTAGATAATCTGCTAGATGACTGCATTTTTACTAAGACCACAATTGAAATTTCATTTTAAAAAGAAAATACACCTAAGTGTTTGTCAACTACTAAATACAACATAGAAAATTGATAAATAATGAAGAAATCCAAAGACGTAGGGAGGACAAAGAATATGTCCGAGGGAAAAGCCTGACAACCTGAATACAAAATACAAAACATAATCAGTTTAGATGTGCTAAATATACATAAGGAAATAAAGTTTGAAAAATGAGGAAATAAAATGATTAATATATATTGTCACATTGGGGTACTTATTTGAACACATACTATGAAAGGGTGCAGGCAGACAGGACAGCAAAAGAATACTGAGACCATAGTAATGACCAAGTAGATGCTAAGCGAGGAGTCTAAACCTTTTCCTGGGCCTGTCAGGATGTGGCCACTAGAGGTGAAAGAAACAACTGACCAGCAACAGGTGTAGTCTGAACATGGAGGACATGGGTGGCATTTCAGTGTCCTTGACCATAAACTTAAGTCTATGATTGACTAGATGACTATCACTCAGCAACCTTGTGGTACACATTTCCCTGTTTTGGGCTTCCATGATAAACAGACTAAGACTCAAGTGCTTGAGTAACTGATACTCCATGAAGGCCTTCCAGACCTAGTCTCTGTTAACTGCCACCATCTTGAACATCACATATTCTTTTCTGCCACAGGTGTAACATGAAGTGTAAATTGCCATTTTCATTAAACACTATCACTCACACCAACACTGTGCTTCTCAGCTCCAGGGAGCTGCTGTTTCTCTTATGCAGAACTTGACACTTAGGGCCATCCAATTCAAGGATGTCAGATCAAACAGGTTCTTTATGTTCATTTGGAGGGAGCGGTGCATATACTGGGGCACCAGCAGGCAGTAGTTACTTGGGCATTTTTCTACAGCACTGTACTGCTAGAGTGCATGCTTTCTGAGGCTGTGTTCTCATGCTTGGTAAGTGTAGAGGCAGTCTGGTGAAAATGAAGACATGGTTATATTATGTTTCATTTTCAGCTTAGGGAAACCCCAGATCTCCGGCAGTGATATTAGAATTGTACTTATCTTTTCTCTGTCTACCTCTATTGGAAGTTTTAAGGTGTAGGGAAGGTGGTATTATGAAGATGAAACATCTTTCTGTTTTTTCTCTGGCATGAATCTGAAGCAGAAAACAGCAACTATGGTCTCAAACTAATTCCCTGGGATGTAGTCAGACCTGACAACATGATTAATAGGGGTGGACTGTCTTTTACATCAGGACGGTATGTTTTCCAGAAAGTCTTTTATCCTTGATGATCTCAGAATTCACAATGTACATTAGTATAGCCCTGGAATCTATGCGTTTTAGTAGTGGGTTTTTTTAGCCAACATATATGTTTTAGCAAAAGTTTTCATTGTCTTCAGTAGCCTAGAAAAACTTTAAAGATATTTCTCTGTTATATCTTATATCCAAATTTCTGACAGAAAAAGTGATAGCGATGGAAGAATGACTTTTTCTGGGA